GGGGGGGGGGGGGGGGGGGGGGGGGGGGCGGCGGGCCCAGGGCAGGCGAGAGGCAGCAGGGTGAGGGTGGGGTCCCCTGGGCAGCAGCTGGACGGTGGGAAAGTAGCCAGGCTACTTCCTTCCTGGAATATCCACTTTGCTTTTCTTCAACCACAAAAATCCTGTTTGTGCTTAAAGGCCCAGGCCAGAGGGCGCCTCTTGGCGAGCCTTTCTCATCCTCCGTCATCTAAAACTGCACGATGTCAGGGCCAGGAGGGGCTTCAGGGACCTATCCGGGTGGCCTGTTGGCCACCTTTACACTGGATTCTGACACGGATGTATTTTATTTGGGCGGTCCTCTGTTACATTTAACCAGCCTCCAGGCTGCAGTCGCCACCCCTCCCTGGAGTCTGACACATGATCTGTGTAACTCGTTTAGTTACCTGGTGGGGCCTGTAAGCACTCGGGCTCGCTGCCAACCCCCCGCGTTCTGCAGAAGAGGCCCCAGAAGGGAGCGGAGCCCCGCCAGCAGCCGCTCAGCCCCTGTCCGGCTTCTACCAGTGATTATGCTTGTCTCCCATGTGGGCCGGGAGCGCCCCCAGCCCACCCCTGGCTCCCAGCCCAGAGCCTGGCCCGGCTGAGGCCCGGGGTGCTGGCTCGGGAGCCTACCTGCAGGGCCCCTCTTGCAGGTTGGCAGCCTGGTAACTGCTCTGTGCCCTGCTCGCCCGGAACCTGGGGCTTTGGCTGCAACGCCAGCTGCCAATGTGCCCACGCGGTAGCCTGCAGCCCCCAGACCGGGGCCTGTACCTGCACTCCTGGGTGGCGGGGGGCCCACTGCCAGCTTCCGTGCCCAGTAAGTGCTCAACAGCCCATCTGCCCAGGGGATGGCGGGTCACAGCCTCCCCCCTGCCCGCTGACTGGCCTGCCCCTCTCTCTCCAAGAAAGGACAGTTTGGTGAAGGCTGTGCCAGTCGCTGTGACTGTGACCACGCTGATGGCTGTGACCCTGTTCACGGACGCTGCCAGTGCCAGGCTGGCTGGACGGGTGAGCATTCTTGGTGTCCGGGCCCCTGCACACAGCGGAGTCAGGGATGCGTCCTGCAGGAAATGTGTCCCGAAGAGCCTCTATGGAAATGGGGTTGGGGGGCAGGCTGGGCTCACCCTACCTACCCTTCTCTCCCACAGGCCCCCGCTGCCACTTGCCCTGCCCTGAGGGCTTCTGGGGGGCAAACTGCAGTAACATTTGCTCCTGCAAGAACGGGGGCACGTGCATCCCTGAGAACGGCAACTGCGTGTGCACGCCCGGGTTCCGAGGCCCCTTCTGCCAGAGGCGTGAGGCTCCCTCTCCTTCCCCCACCTGCCAGCAGTAGGGCGCGGGTTCAGGCGCTGGAAGCCCCCCACGACTCCTCTCTGCTGGGAAGGAGGGAGGGAGATAGTGGGGTCAAGCCCGATGGAGGGGTCCTTCCTGCCTCCAGTCACCGCGGCCTCTCTCCCGCAGCCTGCCAGCCCGGCCGCTATGGCAAACGCTGCGTGCCCTGCAAGTGTACCAACCATTCCTCCTGCCACCCCTCCAACGGGACCTGCTACTGTCTGGCCGGCTGGACAGGCCCTGACTGCTCCCAGCGTACGTGCTGGCCCTCGTGTGTGAGCGTGTGTGTGTGTGCGTGTGCTAGGCAGGCTGAGGGCCAGAGGCTTCTGTTTCCCTGTGCTGGGCGTAGAGGCCTCTGCACCCACTTGGATTTCATAATTTCTAGGAAGAATACAAACAGATACTTGGTGGGTGTCACCGCCATGCCGAGTCCTGTTCCGGTGCTCAGGGCACAGCAGGGGGCTGATCAGGGCAACAGACGTGCACCCTTCTGCATGGGACGCCTGGGAAGGGCATTACTTGTCCAGGCAGGGGGCCGGGGGGACCCCAGGCTTGGTTCTGGACACGTGCTCCTTTCCTCCTGCACTTTTCTTTTTCTTTTTTTTTTAAAGTTTTTTATTTTTGAGGCAGAGAGAGACAGAGCATGAGCGGGGAAAAGGCAGCAAGGGAGGGAGACACAGAATCCGAAACAGGCTCCAGGCTCTGAGCTGTCAGCACAGAACCCGATGAGGGGCTTGAACCCACGAGACGTGAGATCATGACCTGAGCTGAAGTTGGACGCTTAACTGACTGAGCCCCCCAGGCACCCCTGCACTTTTCAATTTGTATTTATTTGTATGTGGCTTCTTCCCCACATAAATATATAAAGAACATCATGGAAACGGTTAGTCCCCAAAACCAAGCACAGCAAGCATTGAAATGGGAAATGAGGAGCCGTGGCCCCAAAAAAGGCTGGGTGCAGGCTCGGCGGGGGGTGAGGGGCATGATCTAGGGGAAGGGTTTCCCCTAGAGTGCGGTCATGGGTACCATTAGATTATTTGTGAGTGTCAGACACACAAAAGTTGTACCTCCGATGGTATGGACGTTTTCTTCTCTTTTACGATAAAGAGGTAAAAAAAGAACCGAGAGCTAAACAATGCAGGCAAGTTTGGAAGCCTTTGGTGGTCTGGCTCTGGCCATGCGATCCTGAAATGGATATTAGATAGCCAAGCACTGAGGCCCCCGGGTGGCTCAGTCGGTTGAACGTCTGACTTCGGCTCAGGTCATGATCTTACGGCTCATGGTTCGAGCCCTGCATCGGGCTCTGTGCTGACAGCTCAGAGCCTGGAGCCTGCTTCAGATTCTGTGTCTCCCTCTCTCTTTGACCCTCCGCTGCTCACGCTGCCTCTATCTCTCTCTCTCAGAAATAAATTAAAAAAATTTAGATAGCCGAGTGCAGGTTCCAATAGGCAGTTGGCATGTGATAAGCATGTGTGAGCCGTCCGTGCACGGCTGTGGTTCAAAAGCTTGGTGTCCCAGGGAGACCGAGGCTGAGAAGATTTCAGTGGTGCTGGGGGCTGGGGAGTCATCCAGACGGAGGTGGCCCTGCCCCGCCAGAAAGCCACCTTGTCTCCTGCAGCGTGCCCTCTAGGGCACTGGGGACCCAACTGTGCCCAGCTCTGCCAGTGCCGCCACGGGGGGAACTGCCACCCCCAGGATGGGAGCTGTCTCTGCCCCCCAGGCTGGACCGGACATCTCTGCTTGGAAGGTACCTAGAGAAGGGGAACTCCTGCCCTGCCCCCAAGGGGGACACTGCAGATCTGGGTCCCCCGCCCCCACTGCCCCCTCGCCTTTCCCCCAGGCTGTCCTCCAGGGATGTTTGGTGCCAACTGCTCCCAGTCATGCCAGTGTGGTCCCGGAGAGAGGTGCCACCCGGAGACGGGAGCCTGTGTGTGTCCCCCGGGGCACAGTGGCGCCCCCTGCAGGATTGGTGAGTTCTCCTGTCTGCCCGATGGTCCCCAGGGAACCAGGACCTGGGCCCCTCATACGCCCTGACCCCTCCCGGGGCCTGTCCTATGCTGCACCCCAGGCTCACCGGCAGAGGCAAGGCGCCATGCTGAGGGGCCGCCCCATTCCCCTAGGAAGCCAGGAGCCCTTCACCATGATGCCTACCTCTCCAGTGGCCTACAACTCGCTGGGGGCAGTGATCGGCATCGCAGTGCTGGGGTCCCTGGTGGTAGCCCTGCTCGCGCTGTTCGTTGGCTATCGCCATTGGCAAAAGGGCAAGGAGCACCAGCACCTGGCGGTGGCCTACAGCAGCGGGCGGCTGGATGGCTCTGAGTACGTCATGCCAGGTGAGCTGGCCCGGGGCGGGCACACGTGTGGGGGCTGGCGCGTGGGCTCCGGGCGCGCAGGGTGCGGGGCTCCTGTGTCCCTCCCTGGACCTGGAAGAGGCGAAGCGGGGAGCTGGAGGGGAGAAGAGAGGTCGGATCTGCTGGGACAGAACCACGGTCCTGGGCCCGGGCCTCTTTCTGACCGGCCGGGTCACCGCGTGCCTTGTCTGCGCAGATGTCCCTCCCAGCTACAGTCACTACTACTCCAACCCCAGCTACCACACCCTGTCGCAGTGCTCGCCGAAGCCACCGCCCCCCAACAAGGTCAGTGCTGGGGGAGGGGGTGCACCGCCGTGGGGGTGCCGTGACACAGACCCAGTCCCCCGCAGAGCTCCGTCCTCTGTGTTCCTCTCCTTTTTCCACCCCTCCCCCATCAGGTTCCAGGCAGTCAGCTCTTTGCCAGCCTCCAGGTCCCCGAGCGGCCGGTGGGAGCGCACGGGCAGGAGAACCACAGCACCCTGCCTGCTGACTGGAAGCGACGCAGGGAGCCCCCTGCAGGGCCTCCGGACAGGGGTAGGGGCCCCGGGGGTAGGGGCCCAGAGGCCAGGAGCCCCCTGCAGGGCAACCTCTGGACGGGGTAGGGGGCCTGAGGCCAGGGCCTCTGGGGAGGGGGGCTTGTGCAGCCCAGCACCTGCTCCCTCGGAGCCTGTGTCCGCAGAAGGGTCCTGGGCCCCGGCTGGGGCAGGTAGGAGCCTGGGGAGGAGAGCAGGGGCTGCTCATTGCCTCCCTCTCCCCCTGCGCAGGCAGCGGCCGCCTGAGCTACAGCCGCAGCTATCGGAGCAGTGATGGCCCCGGCCCGTTCTCTAGTAAAGGTGCTGGCGCAGGGGTGAGGGAGGAGGCCGGGCCGGGCTTTGGGAGCCAGGGCCGCCACAGAGCCTGACTCCCTTCCCCTCTCTTTAGGGCCCATCTCCGAAGAGGGGCTGGGGGCCAGTGTGGCTTCCCTGAGCAGCGAAAACCCCTACGCCACCATCCGGGACCTGCCGGGCCTCCTGGGGGGCCTGCGGGAGAGCAGCTATGTGGAGATGAAAGGCCCCCCGTCAGGGTCCCCCCCCAGGCAGCCCCCTCCGCTCCGGGACAGCCAGAGGTGGCGACACCCCCAGCCACAGAGAGACAGTGGCACCTATGAACAGCCCAGCCCTCTGATCTATGGTGAGTCCCCTTCTCCGCTGGGGCAGGGGCCACAGGGAACGAGGACAAGGGAGGGAGAAAGAAGGGTCGGGGGGAGAGAGCACAGAGCGGGCGCGGTGCGGCATCAAGAGCGGGGACTTTGGGCATGCCGTCTGGGAAGTCACATTGCCGCTGAGAGCCCGTGAGTGGTGGCCTGCCTCACAGGGCTGAGGGTTTGGTCCGACAGCACCTGACTTGTGGCCTTGTGGCCCAGAAAAGAGGGGAACAAGGTTGGTGACAAAGTGTCCTCATATCCTGTGAGGTGGGCAGGTCAAGTTGGCCTCCCCCAATGGCGGCTGAAGAGCTACACAAACTGGCACCATCCATCTGTCTGTGGGCAGGAGAGGCTGCAGAGGGAGGAGAGGGGTGAGGAGGGAGGAGCCAGCTCCCCCTCCCGTGCCTTCTCTGTCCGCAGATGGAGATTCTGTGGCCTCCCAGCCCCCACTGCCACCGGGCCTGCCCCCTGGCCACTACGACTCCCCGAAGAACAGCCACATCCCTGGACACTATGACTTGCCTCCAGTCCGGCACCCCCCGTCACCCCCAGTTCGGCGCCAGGACCGCTGAAGGGTCAGGGTCGTGTGCAGAAGCCAGCGTCCTTCACTGCCCGGGGCTGGGGGCAGAGCCTGCTGTACAGCCAGCGGCGCGGAGAGGACCGGTCGGCCGTGAACCTGAACACGTCTAACAAGGAGGTGAATGTCCGGGAGACCCGGGCCTGGCTCCCAGGGTCCATCATGGGAGACTCTGGTCAGCGGGAGGCCTGCCTTCCCTTTTGTACGTTTTCCAACCTGCTGCTCCCCAAGGCCCCGGGGCCTTTGTACATAAACTGGTGGGTTGAATGTTGCTAGAAAACTCTGATTTCAGATTAATGTCAAAAATGTGTATTGGAGGGGCGCCCGGGTGGCTTAGTCGGTTAAGTGTCCGACTTTCACTTAGGTCATGATCTCGTGGTTCGTGGGTTCCAGCCCCGCGTCGGGCTCTGTGCTGACTGCCAGCTCGGAGCCTGGAGCCTCTTTCAGTCTGTGACTCCCTCTCTCTCTGACCCTCCCCTGCTCACGCTGTCTCTCTCTCTCTCTGTCCTAGAAATAAAGAAAACATTAAAAAAATTTTAAAAAATATGTATATTGGATTCCTTTTCTGTGCTCTTCCAGGCTGTGTGTGTGTGTGTGTGTGTGTGCACGCGCGCACGTGCGGGCGCTGCACACACCCATCTGGGGCACGCACTCTGTAGTCGAAAGGCAGCCCAGACCCAGTGACCTTTAGCCACAGCCTAACTGGCCTCCTTGCCTTCACCGGGCAGTTGTTCCAACCAGCTGCTCAGAAGAGACGGCGGTGAGGTTACGTGTGTGGGTGTCCTGGGCGCCCCGTGGCTCTTGGGCCAGAGTCAGAACTGTCACAGGCCTTAGGGACTCTGCTGGCCTGGCCTGTCTCTCCAGCCTCACCTTGAACTGTGTTCACTGTCACTCCGTTCCAGTCACCCTGGGCTCTAGGTCTACCCAGTAGCCACACTTCTTCCTACCACGGGGACTTTGCACGTCCGGTGCTCTTCTCTTCCCCTCACCTGTTAGCTGCCACTTGACCCTCACCTCCGGTCCTCGGGGAAGCGCCTCGCTTACTTCGTCTCTTGCGTGGTGCTGATCACAGCTGTGTTCACCGGCTGCCTGCCAAAGGCCCCAGAGTACCTGCTCTCCCTGTACTGTGTTGTTTGTGTGATCATCTGATTAATTTCTGCCTCCCCTACCGGAGTGTAAGCTCCCTGAAGGCAGGGATCATGTAGTATGCTCAACATCAGTTCTCCTTGGCATACAGTAGGCACTCAATAAATGTTCCCCAAAGGCTGAGTGAGCTGAAAGCACCCGTGGTAAGCGCCAGTAAGGAGGCAGCCTTGCGCCGCACTCTGGGCTGAGGGCCGCACAAGGCAGGGGCTTCCGGGAAGAGTGGCACAGGGCCGGGCGCCGAGGCGGGGAGGTGCTGGGAGTGCGAGTGGGGCAGAGCTGAGGGTGGTGGCGGAAAGCGGCCGGGAGAGGGGAGGCCCACGAGGGGTCGGGGGGGCTAGACGACCCGAGCACTTCGAACCCAAGATTTCTGAGAAGCGAGATCTGCCTCGTGACCTCATTGGCGGATCCACTGGCTGCCCACACCTCCCGGAGGCTAACTACACGGCAGTCGGGAATCCCAGCACCACGCCTTTTCCATCAGGAGCCCTCTCCTTACAGATAGGGGGGCGCACCCCGGAGGGTGGGTCTGCCCCCCGCACCCCGGCCCTCCCTTGCTAGATTCCTCGCACCGCCGCGATCCCTTGCTCTCTCCAGGGACGCAGCTTCCCGGGTGGCTGGTTAGCTCCGGGCCCCGCCCCGCCCCCGCCCCGCCCCCGCCCCGCCCCCGCCCCAGGCCCCACCCATAATGGCCCCGGCCTCGCCCGGACCCCCGGCCAGGCCGGGCGGTGTCTCGCTCCCTGGCTCCGCCCCCGAGCCCTCCCGCCCGCGGCTGTGACCGTTCCTCCCGCCGGTCCCGCCCCTCCCTCGAGCAAGCTCCTTGGCTCCGCCCCGAGGCTCGCCCCGCCCCGCCCCGCCCGCCCGCGTGCAAACCCCTTGGCCCCGCCCCAGGCTCCCCCGCCTGCGGCTGTAACCGCTGCTCCCGCCCGCCGCGTGCGTTGTCGTGGAGAGGGACGCGGAGGCTACGGTGCGGGCGCGGCGGGGCAGTGGCAGCGGAATAGAGACCCCCGGTTCGGTCCCACGCCCCCAGGGCGAGCCCCACAGAACCCTGTCTCGCCTCTGCGCCGCGTGGGTGGTCCCAGGGCCGCTGCCGACGGCGCCGGCATGTCGGGCGAGTCAAGTACGCCCGGCGCCTCCCCCAGGGCCCCGCGTCCCGGGACCCTGAAGTCGTCCGGCACAGTGACCAAGAAGGGGGATCGCGGGGCCAAGGAGAAGCCGGCCCCCGTCGTGCCGCCGGTGGGCGAGGAGGAGTCCAAGAACCCCGGTAGGCGGGCGGGAGGGCACGTGCGCGGCGCCGCGCCGGCCTGGAGCTCCGGTGACTGCGTTCAGCAGGCGCGTGTAACCAGCTCCTGGCGCGCCGCAGGGCTGTGCTGCGTGGTGACCCTTATTAGGTGTGTGGCCCCGGCACCTTTTCTTCTCTGTAGTACGGACGTGTGAGGAACGAGGGAGCTGGCGGCGGGAAGGTGTTTTGTAAACTGCAAATTCCTCTGTTGATCCCACAAGCATGCATTGTGCACCCCGTGCCCAGCCTCTGCTCCATCCTGGCACACAGATCACGGTACTTGCAGCCCAGCTCTTGAAAGTCAGCTTGGCACAGCTCTGAATGGAACTGATCCTAGAGAACCCACCCTGTGGTTCGGGATGCCGACAAATACCCTGAGGTGTGATGAGATGCATGAGGAGGCGCCCCGGGGGGCCCCAGGTGTGGGCAGGGAGCCTGCCAGGAGGTTACTTTGAGTTGACCTGTACAAGAGTGTGGCTCTGTGTGTTGCATGTAACAGAACCTTGAGCCACAAAGGGGAATTTATTGGAAGGCTTTTTTTTTTTTTTTTTTTTTTAAGTAGCCTCCATACCCAATGTGGGGCTCAAACTCATGAGCCCGACCGAGATCAAAAGATGCCCTACCGACTGAGCGATCCGGCACACCTGTCGGAAGGCTTTTTGATTCAAATCTATCCACTTTGAGAGAGACAGGGGCTTGCTGTCCCTGGACTTGGGAAAACCACTTGGGAGGCGGCTCTGATTGTCGACCTCGGTCAGGTGGATCTCCTGGTCAGGGTGGCTGGGGGTGAGGGAGCTGGGAGCGCTGGAGAAAAAGCATTTTCCAGGAGAGACCAGACGATGTAGAACGTTTTACAGGGATGAACCCAGTCGCACCCCCCCCCCCAAGCCCCCGCTCTGCATGACCAGTGGGAGAGCAGGGAGGCAGGGAGGTGAATCACAAGGCATGTGGCCAGTCCATACGGGGGACAGTGGTAGTTGGAATAGAGCAGTGAGGGAGAGTGAGTTAGGCTTCTTGGAAAGAGTTCCCAAGTAGAAGCAGAACTGGTGGAGTCTTGGCTGGGGTGGGAAGTGAAGGAAGAATGATTCCCAGGTCTCTGGGCTGGGCAGTCGGTGGGTTGAGGTGCCATCCACGCGGACAGGGAAGACCCCCAAGGGGTGATGTCAGCTGGGCAGCTTGACACATGGGTCTGAAGCACTCACGAGAGAGCACCGTGATGTCCGTGATGTCCGGGTGTATTTAAGGCCTGGGGAAGAAAGAGATTCTTCCGGGGCAGCAGGGAGCATATGCAGAGAAGAGTGGAGCTCCCGGAGATATTAGGGGAGGAGCAGCTGGCAGAGAAGTGAGATCAGCCTGGGCCGACAGGTGGGAGAGAATGGGGGTGACAACTGCCCAGGGATGCTGGGTGGGGCAACGCCGTGTGCGGTGGCGGGCAGATGCGGGGCTCGGGACTCCAGTGGGGTAGAGAGAGAGTGATGGCGGCCGTAGGAAGGGTTAGAGATTCAGAGGAAACCTCATCTGCTGGCTTCTGTTTCTCAAGAAGTGCAAGGCAAGGTCAGCAGAGAGTGTGAGGAAGGAGTGCGGGAGGGAGCGGAGCAGAGCAAGCCCCCCGCCCCCTTTAGAGCTGCTCTTGGCCACCAGGTAAAGGCTGCCTGAAGCGCAGGCGCGGAGCGTTGCCACGAGCCCACGAAGTTCCTCCAGATTCCGCAGGCAGTGGCTCTGGAGCAGAGGCTCTCAAACCGCTGGCCTTGGCATCACCGGTTTGCAGTTAGTTTGTTAGAAATGCAAATTCACAGACTCCACCTGGCCCTTGGAATCAGGGTCTTTGGGGAGGGGACCCAGGTTGTTCAGGTTTGAGACTCTCTGTTGTAGAGAAGGGTGGTGTGGAAGCGAGGAAGGGGTGAAGGGCTCCTCCAGCAGGGGGAACAGGTGTTATGCAGGAGGTGGCTGTGCAAGGGGGTTCCCCGGGGCCCTGAGCCTCCTCTCAACCACCTTGTCCCTGGAACTAATGTGTCCTGTGGATCTGTTCCCCCGATGGCGCATGAGGAACGTGCCTCTCCCTAGAACCTCACACTTCTCTGTCTCGTCCCCACTTGTGCTGAGCACCTGCGCTGTCAGACGTCCAGGCCTCTGGGCAGGCTCCCTGCGGTCAGCTGTGCAAGTTCCACTCGGGCTCAGTACTGGCCGGCGGCCGGCAGTGGTGCTTGGGGGCTCCGGCTCCGGGCTGCCCAGCACGTAGAAGAGCAGGCTGGCACCGGCCCAACCCTTCTGCCTCCAGATTCTCTCCTGCACCAGGGACAGCCCTTCCCATCTCCAGGAACCACTTCTTCCTGGGATGCCCTTGGGGATGTGGGAAAGAGCTGGGGTCCCTGGGGACTCAGACACTCAGGTTTGCATAGCCCTCACGACGGGATGTGGGGGGCGTCGGTCTGAATTAATGTTACTCTTGAATGAATTGATATTTCCAAAGCACTTGGAACAGTGTGGGACCGGAGCAAGTGCTATAAACGTGTGCGTAAATAAAAGCCCGAGGCCGAGGCTCTGCTGGAGCACGGTGTGTGTGGGGGCGGGGGTGAGAGGTGCTCCTGGCTTCCTTCCTTTGCTCACATCGGTCGGGCCTGGACGATCCTGGGCCGTCGCAGCAAACAAGGGGCATGAGAGGAGGCCAGGCTGGGGACACCTTGGGAGGTGGAGGCCCCTCCCTCCGGGGGCGGGTAGCGCAGCGGAAGCGGCCTTGACCCGTGGGTGGAGGCCCCCAACGCGGTGAGGAGGGACCCGGCAGCCCCCTTTCTCCGGGATCTGGATTTCCCGCTGTTGGCTCTCAAGTGTCCCCAGCGTGAGTCTTTACCACGCATCTTAGTTTTAAAAATGGCTGTAAGGACGTCGTTCCGGGCGGGGGGTGCCCAGACGCCGCGAGGCCCGAAGTCCCGGGCGGGCGGCTGAGCCTGGGGACGCGTCGCGGGGCGCCCGCTGCTCTCTGCTGCCCCCCGGCGGCGGCAGTGAGCCCTGCCGCCCCGCAGAGGAATACCAGTGCACCGGGGTCCTCGAGACGGATTTCGCCGAGCTCTGCACGCGCTCGGGCTACACGGACTTCCCCAAAGTTGTCCCCCGGCCTCGCCCGCACCCGACCTTCGTCCCCTCAGCCTCGATGTCGGAAAAGACCGCCCAGGGTGAGTGCCAGGGGAGCTCCTGGGGGGCCTGCCGAGACGGCCTCCTTTCGCCGGGCGGGCCGAAGGGCGGGGGCGCAGAGCAGGGGTGGGGCGCCGAGGGGAGGCTACCAAGGAGCAGGTGTGGAGGTGGGCGGGTCTCTCGCCTTCCTCCCCAAACCCTTGGCGAACCCGGCCCGACCACACCTGGGGGGTACTGCCCTCCGGCCGCCCCCGGGCCGGCGCTTCTGTTTCCTCCCGCCTCACCCCGCTCCTCGCACCCCTGCCTTGCAGACGATCAGCGCCTGTCGGCGTCTTGCAGCCTCAACAGCCTGGAGAGCAAATACGTGTTTTTCCGGCCCACGATCCAGGTGGAGCTGGAGCCCGAGGAGAAGTGGGTGAAGGAAATCTACATCCGCGGTGAGCCCCACCCGTCCTGAGTCCCCCCACCCCCCAGTCCCGTTCGCCCGCCCCGTGGTGCACCCCCGCCCGGCCTGAGTCCCCCAATACCCCCTCAGTCCTGTTCCCCCGCCCCGCGGTGCCCCCCGCCCACCCCGAGTCCCCCCCACCCCCCCACCCCCCTAGTTCCGTTCCCGCGCCCCGCGGTGCCCGCCCCCCCCCAGTCCCGTTCCCCCGCCCCGCCTGAGGCGCCTCCCTCCTCTTGCTGCCACAGGTTGGAGGGTGGAGGAGCGGATCTTGGGCATCTTCTCTAAATGTCTGCCCCCCCTCAGCCAGCTGCAGGCCATCAAGTGAGGGCCCGCGGGTGGGCCGGCTTGGGGGGAAAGAACCCAGGCCGGTGGGAGGCTGCGGCACCCGAGGGAGGGTGTGGCTGGAGGGGATGTGCGGGAAGGGGTGAGGCTCCAGCTGGGTTTCCGCACCTCCCAAGTCCAGCTTGTGGAAGGTGGGGCTGACGGATAAGACCCTGAGCACCTTCATCGCCCTGCTGCCTCTCTGCGCATCCACGCTCAGGTCAGAGAGCCCAGGGCAAGTGGGGAGGGCCCAGGGTGGACCCGGGCTGGCTCTTGTCCAGGATCAGGGAGGGAGGGAGAAGGGTTAGGACACAGCCTGCACTGTGGCGGTTCCTGGGGCAGGGAATGGGGGCAGAGAAGGAGTGCCACCCCATTTCCTGGGGGCAGGCCGGGGAGACAGGATGGCTGCCTGGAGGAGGTGGTGCTGAGCTGAGCTGTGGAGGAGGAAGAGGAGGGGGCAGAAGCCAGGTGGGAGGCGGTGTGGCTGCAGGTGTGGTCCAGGAGCTGATTTGGCTCCTCCTTCTCGAGGCTTCTCCAGCACCCTGGGTTTATCCTGCTTCACAGAAAACCCCCTCAGCGTTGCGCTGGCTTGGAGGGGGGGGGGGGTTGGATACGGACATTCCCGAAGGGCGGGGCTGTGTCTTCCTCAGCCCAGGAAACAGAATTTGTTTCCATCATGAGAACTAGAAACCAAGTAGGCAGGAGAAACTAAACTATGGAATTCATTTTAAGATACAAAAGTAAGTCAGATCCACATGGGCAAATAATTTAAAATGAATGTAATGAAGTTCAGGTGGAAGATGAACCAACCTGAAAGGTAATGAATCTCCCGTCATAATAACCGTGGGACAAAACTTTGAAGTAGAGAAATTTCTAGCCGTTAGTTCCATGTGTGTTGTGACTTGGCAAAGCTCCTGGGTTCTCCCAGCAAAGCCATGCTAGGCGGGGGTGTGGGGTGGGGGGGTGTATCAGTTACCACGACCTGTGACCTGCGGAACATGCTACCTTTCAGCAGGTGACTTACAGCAACCAGCGTTTATTGGTTTCCAGTTCCTGTGAGATAGACCTGGTGCCCGTGCGGGCGAGCGGGGTGCCCCCAGCCCCGGGGTGGGGGGGGAGTGTGTGTGTCTGGTGGCCCGCAGGAAGCTGGCGGCTGGGGCTGCAGGTCTAGATGTCCCCACTGCAGGCAGGGACCCCAGCGAGCTCCCAGACGCAAGGCCACAGTCCCCTCGTGACATAGAAGTGACATCTCATTCCTTGTGCCATATTCCATTCAGTAGGAAGGGAGTCACTGGGTCCAGCCACCTTGGGGGCGGGGCGGGACTACACCAGGCGTGGCTGTCAGGGGGATCCCGAAATCCTCTCACAGGCCACCTCACCACCCGGTCACTAGCGCTGGCGAGGGCCCCCATTCACATGGTACACTTGTGGATTTTTATTTAAAAACAAAATAGTATTTATTTTGAGAGAGAGAGTGAGCACATGCGCATGGACAAGTGGGGGAGGGGCAGAGAGAAGGAGAGACCGAATCCCAGGGAGGCTCCACACCATCAGCGCAGAGCCTGATGCAGGGCCCCGGCTCCCCAACTGAGAGATCAAGACCTGAGCCGAGGTGAGAGGGAGGGTCTGTCGCCGCCCAGGCGCCCCCACACTTGTGGACTCCCAGTCTGCAGAACGGTCCCACATACTCGCCTACCCGGGAGACCTTCCTTGGGGTTTCCAGGCTGTCCCCCAGAGACCCACAGGTCTGACCCCTCCCTCCTCTGGCCTCGGCGGTGCCTCCAGGTTCTCAGACCTTACCCCCCCTCACCCCCCCACCCCGTCCTCAGGAGGGTGTCTCTGGAGGGCAACCCGCTGCCGGAACAGTCCTATCACAAGCTCATGGCCGTGGACAGCATGTGAGACTGCTTTGATCCCCACCCCCTTTCCCCGCTGTTCCCGGTCCGGGGCAGCCCTGGAGCCCTGGTCCGCCCTGCCCTGCCCTCTAGCGACCCCACCGAAGCCTTCAACTCCTGCCCCTCTGCCCTCGGGCGTTGCCCCTCCTTACCCTGTGCGCTGTGCTGTGAGTTCTCGCGGAGGCGCCCCCCCCCCACAGTGGGCCCGCTCTCCCCTCCCCCTCGGAGCGCAGGATCACGCACTTGTCTCTGCGCAACAACAACATCGACGACCACGGGGCGCAGCTGCTGGGCCGCGCTCTATCCACGCTGCACAGCTGCAACCGGACCCTGGTTTCGCTCAACCTGGGCTTCAACCACATTGGGGACGCGGGTGCTGGCTACATCGCAGACGTGCGTGCTGGGCAGGGACAGCGGGCCGGGACCCAGGGAGTGGGGGGCCGGGAGCGGGGACGGGAGGCGGCACGGCTGGCCACCGGCTCACGCGCGCCCCCGGCCCCAGGGCCTCCGGCTGAACCGCGCCCTGCTCTGGCTGTCGCTGGCGCACAACCGCATCCAGGACCAGGGCGCCCTGAAGCTGGCCGAGGTGGGGGCGGCGGCGGCGGCGGCGGCGGCGGCGCAGGGTGCCGGGTCCTCCAGGCTGGGGTCTGACCGCGGGCGGCTCGCCCCAGGTCCTGCGTCCCTTCGAGCTGACGCACACAGAGGTGGTGGAGCGCCGCCGCCTCCTGCTGGAGAAAGGGACGCAGGAGCGCTCGCGATCGGTGAGTCCCCAGCGCGCCCCCCACCCCCCAAGCCGCCTCTCCCTGGGCGCCCCGGGCTCCCTGCGGAGCGTCTCCTGTGGGGCGAGAGAAAGGACTAGTTACAGCCCCGAGCAGCCGGCCACGGCCCGGGACCTGGGGCGCGTTCCCTAACCGCGGCCTGCGTGCTCTGGAGGACTGTCGCGGGGTCGTACCGGACAGTGCGGCGGTGTGCGTGGAGCAGGGCCGACGCTTAGTTCATCGAAAGGCTCCCACTGTTTTCTCTCCCAACACGAGAATCCGAGCCCCCAGCCCAGTCCGCCCCAGGTCCCTTCCCATTTCCTCCCATAGCACCCCCCACCCCAGGATTCCCAAATGCGGTTCCGGCTTTTAGGCGGGGAGATGGGGTGGGGACAGCCAGGCACAGCCGTTTCCCCTCACCCCTCCTTGAGGAAGGGGTGCAGCTGCTTCTCCCCTCACCCTCCCCGTTGTGAGCACAGCCTTCCTCCTCCCGACACGGGGAGTCCAAAGCTGACCGGGAGAGGAATCCGCTGATAGGGGTCAGCAGTGCTGCACTGACGGAAAAGCCCGACAAGACTCAGACTTCGAAGACCCTGAAAGGCCTGAGCAAGAAGAAGGAGAAGTCCGGGGTAGGTGTCCTGCGTGTGCAGAGGGACGGGGCTGGAGGGCGGAGGCCCGGAAGGTCCTGCCTGGGCCCTTCCCAGACCCGCTCCACCCAGGGAGGCGTAACTTCATCTTTGTCCTCACCGGCTGCCCAGGAATCGGTGAGGAAGGAGGAGAAGTCAGGGTCAGGGCAGTCACCTACACAAGGAACCCCCAAGAAAGAAGACCCTGCAAAGTCAGGCAAGGGGAGTAAGTGCTGGTGCCCATCTGCACACCCCTCCGTGCAGGGGACGGGCGGGGGGGGGGGGCGCGGCTTAGGGAGGCCCATCCTCCGCCTCCACCTTCTGGTGAGGTCAGTCTCTGGGCCTCCTTTCCTTCTCTTGCTGAGATGGTTCCAAAAGCCCACGGGGTCCCCGTCCTGACCCGCTGCACTCCCCACGTTGTTCACCACGACGGGACCCCACGGCACTGCTCTGAGACAAGTACCCGCACTCCTGGCCGGGGAGGCTGCTCCCAATTCCTGATTTGAGGAGTCCCTCCTCACCCGGCCTGCTCTCTCCGGGGCCCCTGGGTGGTCTCCAGAGTGGGCGCTGTGCATTCTGGCTCCTCTCCCCCTGCAGAGGTCACCATCCCAGAGCAGAAACCAAGCAAGGGGAAAGGGCCCAAGACTGGGAACAAAGAGAAGCGCAGCCTCCTGCTGGAGTCCGAGGTAGGGGAGAGGAGGTGGGCGTGTGGGGGGGGTGGCAGCCCGCCCCCTGGTCTCTGTTGTCTCTCTCTGCCGCCCTGTCCCCAACCAGGCTCTGGGGGTTGGAGCTCAGTGCTCCCCCGGCTGGAGGAGGCCCCTCTCCCTTCCCCTGTGGCCGCCCCGCCCCTTCCCGCCAGCCCTGGGCTCCCAGGAAGGCAGGGCTGTCTAGGGTCGTGGTGCCGCCCCACCCTGTGCTCGGCTCCTTGAGACCCTTTTTCTTGTGCTGCTGGGGCCTCCCTTTTCTCCTTCAACTTGGGAAGGTTTTCACCTTACTTTGGAACCTTCTGGGCTGCTGACTCCAGTGCACCCACCAGCCCCAGCCCTCCAGCTGCCTGAGGGTCTGTCTCTGTCCCGCCTTCTGTCTCCATCATCAGACCTCTGCCCTAGGCAGGGAGGGGCCTCTCCTCTTTCGGGAGTTTTCTCTGGCACAAGATTCTACCACTGAGGAAGGCCAGGTGGAAGGGGGCTGGGCTGCCTTTAAACATTCTTTTGTTTTATTAAGTAACCTCTGTGCCCAACGTGCAGCTCAAACTCAGGACCCTGAGCTCAAGAGTCAAAGACAGGCTTCTCCAACTGGGCCCCCCGGGGCGGTGGGGTAGGGACCCCTTTCTTCCCAGTTTGCCTCTGCCCGAGGCCTGGGGGGTTGTCTTCTCTCTCCAGCGCCGGGGCTGGGCCCTCCTTGCACTGGCCGCTTGGTTAGGAAAGCCCCAGCGCTTCCTGCCTTGGCTCTAGCCATTTTCTTGGCCTGGAACACCTTTCTCCTCCACTTTGCTGGGTAACGATCACATGCCCTGCACGCTTCAGCACAGGGGCCGCCGGCTCCGGAGAGGGGCCTGGGGAGCCGCCTCGCCCAGCTTCCCTTCGCAGGGCTTGCCCATCCCTTCCCCACTGCCCCTTCTGGTTGCTTCTGGGGTTGGGGCAGTCAGGACAAAGCCTGGGCCGCAGCTGGTCTCCAGAGCCGGCGGCCGGTGGCAGCTCCCTCCCTCCGCTTTAGCAGGTGGTTGCTGAAGCTACGGAGATGGTCAACCCTCTCCTGGAGCCCGCGGAGCACCGAGACGGGAAGGTGTTTCTGCCTGGGAACAAGGTCCTTTTGCACCTCAACCTCCTCCGTATGTCTGCTGAGCACCCCCGTCCTTCTGCCGTGAGGCCTCCTGGGCCCTGTGCTGCCCTGGGGGTGCCCCCCAGCCCGGACTCCGGGGTGCAGAACACAGTTCTCCGTGGTTGGGCATCATGAGGGCAGAGCCCCTCCTGCACAGGGTTTGGGGTGGGAGGTCGGGCCCTGGGCCTGGCAGGTGGGCTGCAGGCAGGGAACCGGGTGGGAGAATGGAGGCGGGGAGGGGGAGGAGGAGGAGAGTGGGGGAAGAGGTGGAGGGGAGAGGTTAGGGTGGGAGAATGGAGGCGGGGAGGGAGCAGGAAGGGGAGTGAGGGGTAGGGGCTGGGGAGGGCGGGGCCGGGAGGCTGGTGGGGGGGTGTCACAGGTGCAGTGGGGCCACCGCCTCTACCAGGAAACCGCATCACAGAGGTGGGGCTGGAGGGCTTCCTGGCCTCCGTGCAGCACCAGGCCCAGTTCTCCAAGTCCAAGAGCCCATCCAAGGGCCCGGTGGGGCTGCTGTGGCTGTCCCTGGCGGTGAGTCCCCTGGTTCCAAGCAGATCTGGGGGCTCCTTGATGCTGTTTACCACGAGCACCTCAGTCTGTGTCCTCCAGCCCCCAACCCGCCTGCGGAGGCCTGCTCCCCCCAGAGGACTGACCTGCATCCCTTCTGTCCACTGTCCCCTTCCTTTTACTCTTTAGAAAAACTGCTTCTCCCCACAATGTCCTGCGTATGCCATGATCCAGGAGCTGATGCTGCCGAGGGACCCCATCAGTAAGGCCAAGCCGAGAGAGGAGGAGACGGTGGCTTCCTCCACCTAGCCCCTCCCCCTTCCTCCTGGAGCCGCTGGGCAGCAGCAGCACCTCTGGTCCCTGCGAGGTGGGCTGGCCTCCCTGGGGGAGACCTCGGGTCACTAACAAGCTCTGTTGCTGTATGTTTCCCCTTGAGATTGTCTGAAAACTGTTCCAGAACTACTGGGAACGTTTGGCCTGAGTCTGTTCATGTCACGCAGCCAGAAATGGCTGAAGGGCTTTCCGGTTCTGCCAGGGGTGACCTTGGCCCCTCTGTGTGGGCGGGCCAGGGCTCTCCAGCTTGTTCTGCGCTCCCCGCAGGGCACCAGGGTCTGCATGCAGCCTTTGGTCTCAGGGGCGGGGGGGGGGGGGCAGGCTCCAGGCACCACCCCTGCTGGATCCACAGGAGACCAGGACTCCCCTACGAATATAAGGGCAGGGTCTCTCCATATCTACATAGCCAAGGTCAAGCCCTTGACACAAACACTAATGCCATGGTTTGCAGGTGTGGGAGGGGTGAAACCAGGGCTGCCCATGTGGCAGGGAAGGGGGGTGAAGAGGAGCCTGAGAGGTGGGGGAGCCCCTGTATCTCCACCCTTCAGTGCTGCCTCATCTGATAACCTATACGAAGGACTGGGAAGGCCTCTGAGCTGACGCCCACTCTCCAGGGAGCTTCTGGAGAAGCGCCCCGCCCTCCCTTGCAGATTTCACCTGGCCCCGTCCCCACCTCTCAGCTGACAGCGGCCCTCTCTGCCCCAAACTCTGGCCCGGGGCTCTCACAGGCCTCCCCGTGCCTGCCTCCGTCAGCTGGCTGCCGAGCCCCTTATGGGGACATGGGAGCAGCTCCTGGGGTGGTGCTCCCGAGGACCTGGTCAGCCTCTCCCGTCATCCCTGCCCGAGTGCCCCACAGTGCCCGGGCATTGGGAAGGCATGCCAGTGCCCGCTGCGCCATAAGCCCAAGGTCAGTGCGGAGCGAGTGTCGGGGCTGGGAGATAGGGGCTTTGGGGGTGCAGCCGTGTGAGGGACTGCCAAGCTTGTGGGGGGGAGCGGGGGCTGAGGACAGCGAGGACCAGCCACGCCTGCCTGAGGTCTGCGGCTCTGGGGCCCTGCCTGTGCGAACGTAACATTCCGGGGCTTCTGTGTCTGCTCGCACTGTGGCCACGAGCGCGGCGTCCCCACCAGAGGCTGGGGGACACCCTGTCCAGAGCTGTGTCCGGGGGCTTGACACTGGGGGTACGGGCTGCCTTTTGTTCCCTGCACCCAATCCTAAGAACCGCCACGGTGTCTTCTATCAGAGCAGTTCCAGAAATCACACGCACACCAGCACGGTTGAAGAATATTTAACTTTTCTTAAAAAAAAATCTTAACCATGAAAGAAAGAAAATAAGAGTATACATTATTTTAACAGGAAAACAGTCATTTCCATCTCTATATTTTATATATTATATATATTTATATATATATGTATATATACACCTAGCACAGTGTGTATATTTTGTTAGTCAGGGTGGGGGGCTGGCCCAGCGACAGGGGCCAATGCTGTGGGGGCCCAGGGACAGCCCTGGGTTAGCTCGGGGACTCCAGCATTCAACCCCCCACCTCACCTCCTGGGGCCCAGTTTTCAGGGCCGTACCTGATACACTGGTTTTCTATGGGGACAGGGTGGGGACGGGTGGACAGAGGTGGGGTCGGGCATTCCCCTGGAGAGGAGGAGTCCCAGGAGGGAGCGGCCCTGGCCAGAGCCAGGTGGGCTAGGACACCTTCCTGCCCCCAGGGGATCGGCGTGCTCAGCTCTGACCCCCGGAGCTAGGCTGTTAACTAGGAGACAACGGACGCCCAACAACAGAAACAGGTCAGTTATTTACAGAGCAAGATGCACGAACAGTACATACATATTTATAGGAAACCAAAGTGACAAAGAGGCCCAGGGTGCAGGCACCCCACCCCAGCCCCAGGGTCCTGCAGGGAGGGGAGGGGAGGAAGAAAGTGCATCTACACAGAGCCTCCTCCTGCCACCTGCGGGTCTGGGGGCCTGTTCGGGTGCAGCTGGCATGCTCAGGGTGCCAGGCCAGGGAGGCGGGAACACACTGAACTTGACCCGGACCTGAGCAGACCAAGGGCATGCGGGTCTTCCGTGGGGGCTGGGCTGGACTGCCTCTACTGTGGGGCGGAGGTCTGGGGTGCCCCTGCCTCAGGCCAGTCCCCTGGGCGAGTGGGGACATGGAGGATTTGGTGTTTGGACAGTTAGAGTCCTGGGGACGAGGCTGCGTATGCCGTGCTGTCTTCCAGGGGTGTGTCGGAGCCTGTGGGGGGGGGGGAGCGGGGAGGGCAGTGAGCCTCCCTGTTCGGGTTCACCTGCACGGCCCTCAAACTCGAGAGGTGAGGGTGGGGTTTCTAATGAGGCCTGGAAGGGGCAGTCTGCTGCCCCCACTTGTTCGGTCAAGCCCAAGTCCATGGGCAGCGGTGTGCTGTGTCCCTGGCCTCCCCCTGCCCCCCGGCTAGGGCTGGCCCACCTGTCAGGAGCCGGTTTGAGTAGGGAGAGCAGCAAGCCCTGTTCGGCCTCTCTCTGCTCTAAGGAAATGGGGTCCGAAACTAAATTCCCCGCTTCTAGGAGAAATCCCTTTCTGAAGCTGAGGGTGTGAATGAATGTACCGGGTGCGGGTGACGAGGCCCCTTCCCAGAGCCCTCCTCCCCCTCCCCTGTGTGGGTTCCCAGGGGGCATTGCCACACTCACCGTCCTCAGACCACGGCCCTGGCTGGTGGCTGTCCCTGGAGTCTGAGGCCAGGGCATCCTTGGCTGGAGGTGACAGGGAGTGGTCTGTCCATCTAGCCGTCTCTGCGTGGAAACTGCCCACAGGTGTGGTGCCACCAGACGACTCTCCCCCGAGGGACCTGAGCAGCTCTCTGTGGGCCCGCTCCATGTCCTGGAGGGGCAGCAGGGCTGTGTGGGACCCGGGTCCTGCATGTCACGGCCCTGGGGGTGATGGGCCTTGGGATGAGGGACCGGGCTCTGCCCCCTCACCTTGAGCCTGTGGAGCTTGACAGTGAGCTGCTCGATGGTGTGGAAGATGCTGCTCATGTCCCCGAGGGCCAGGCTGGGGGGGGAGCGGCTGGGGTGCCTGCGGCCACCCTCCCCCAGGAGCCAAGGCTCTGTCTGCCAGGCAGGGAGGCTGTCAGGCTGGGAGGGGCTTGTGGGCACCCCCGAGGGGTCGGTGCTGGAGTCTGGGGGTCCTGCTGGCATGCTGACATAGAAACAGTTCCCTGTCCCCACGGCAAGAGGAGGGGGTTAGGAGGCTGACAGGGAGGAAGCGGCGGCCTGGATGCCCCCCACATGGATGGGTGGGACCCGGGGCCCGCGCTGCCGTCCTGCGGACGAGCTCGGCTACGCCTGCTGGCCTCATACTGCACACAGGTCCCATAAAGGCCCTCCTCCTCCAGAAAGCCTTCTGGATGGTACTTCTGCTAAGCTTGGCCCATGCAGAGGGAAGGTGCTCGGCAGTGGAGGTTAGGGAGAGCCCCCCCCGCCCCATCCCTGGAGGGAGTAAGGAAGCAGGGCTGGCTGTGGGCGCTTGGGAAAAGGAGGCTCCGTCACATCTGCCCCATCTCAAGCTCCACTGATGACCCTCGCACAGCCCCTGCGCCCACCTGCAGGGTCCTAGGGGCCCCTCAGCTCCAGGACGGAACGCAATGCTGCTGGAGCGGGGAGGAGGGGAGACACCACGGGCCCTGGGACACCACGTGCGCCTCTTCCACAGTGGCCCTGCAGCGTGGCTCTGGGTGCAGGGCTGGGTGCTCCCTACCCTATTCAGCACCGGCCCGACTAGCCCAGTCCCAGAGGCCCAGTCCCCATGAGGGAGGGAGGACGCAGTGGGGGTGGGGGGCGCCCGTGGCTGTAGGCAGGGGTCTACTCCCAGAGCCCCGCAGGCTCCACCTCCAAGAAGTTCGTTACCCGAGGCCGTGGCTCCGCCTTCCGCTTCGGTTGGCTCAGGCCCTGACTGGCCACTCGTGGGCAGTGTGGGGACAGCCTTGCCGCCCGCCACCTCAGCTGGACCAGCACCACCACCAGGGAGAGTGGGCACCAGGAGAGAAGGAAAGAGGGGGCGGGAGAAGGCGGCAGGAGAGGAAAAGAAAGGAGGAACACAGTGAACGCAGGCACCCATGCAGACGCCCGGGGGCCCAGAGAACCCGCCACCAGCTCACCAAAGCACAGGGAAGGAAGGGCAGCGCCCAGAAACCCAGGAGAGAGGGCGGACCGTGGGCAGAGGGGAGGCGGAGCTGAGCACTGGGAGGACAGGACCTCAGGGCCTTTTGAACACTGTTCCCGTTGCCGCCTCAGACCACGTCCCTGTCCCCGGCACCGGGGACCTGAACCCCTCCCGGGCCCCCATCCTAGCTGGTCTGGGCTCTTCTTGCGCAATGCCGCCCACAATGCTCCAAGTCAGGGCGTGCTCTCACCACCACAATGGTTCGCCCTGCAGCCCAGCTTTGCCCTGCAGCCTCGTGTGCCCCCTGCTCCCACGCTGGCAGTGCCCTCCCCACGGCCACCGGCCACCAGCTACGGGGGGTGGCTGTAAGCACCTGTCCTGGGTCTGAGGTCCCTGAAGAGAGCCTCAGCTCTTCCTTAGGGCTGGGCCACCTGGGAGAAAAGCTAGTGGAGGCTTTTGTGGACAGCGGGTTTGTGCCAGGCCCTAGGTGACACCCTCGTGTTACGCACTGGTGTTCAGAGAGGGTTCACGATTTCGCTTAAGGTCACGCGGATGTGAGGCAACAGGCTCTGGACCTTGGCTGCCCGGCCCCGAAGCCTTCGTGTGGTGGCGGCGTCTCCCCCCGGGATCTGGGAACCTCTGCGCATGCTTTCCCGGATGAGGGGCCCTTCGCAAGGCCTTCCTCTAGCAAAGCAGGCATCTGTCTCCCCAGCAGGCGTCTCCGCTTATTTACCTTTTCTTACAACTTTGTAGCTTCCTGCTGCCTCTGTGCTCAGAGCCTCTTCCTCTGGATTCCTGTCCAGCTGGGGAGACTCCCAGACCCCAGAGTTCCTGGCCCGGGGGGGCAGGTGCTCCAGAGAACAGAGCACCACGTCCTGCTGCTCTGGCTGCTCCCTCTCTGGCCCCGGGGAGCCGGGCTTGCGGGGCTGAGAGGCGTTGCTTGTGAGCGAAGGCGTAGGGGTGCGGTCGCCCTCGGGCTCCCCGGCAGCCTGGGCTCCCTCGGGGTGGCCGGGCAGCAGGCCCCACAGGATCAGGCGCCGCAGGCTCTCCACTGGAGGGGGAGAGGGTGCTGGCTTCCCCGCACACCATGCCTGGGGCCCTGCTCCCCTCCCCCACAGGGCGGAGCTGCGAGTGGACAGGGGGTCACATGGGGTGTGCGTCCCTCCTCCTCAAGCACGGCCCGGGGAGAGCCTTCCAGCAGGCGGAGGGCAGAGGGGTCTGCGGGGCCCGGGGCCCGGAAGGCACTCACCATCTTGGAGGGCTGCATCAGCGAGCCCTTCCACCACCAGAGGGCCCGGGAGGGACAGGAGGGTGGGATCCCTGGTCCTGTGGCCCCTGTCCTCTGCATCCAGGGCCACGGAGGGGTGGGGCGGGGCGCCCGGCTCCTCCTCCATGCTGCCCTCCTGCTCGGGATCCTCTAGTGGGACCGGGTGCTTCCCCTTGACCCTCTGCTGGGGCCCAGGGCCTGCGTGGGGTGGGGGGACGGCATGAGAAGGGGAAGGAAGGCACGCGTGGGGGGCCCCATCCTCGCCCAGCTCTGGGTTTAAGCGGCCGAGAACACGGACTCACTCCACAAACGTGTAGCGAAGCCCTACAGACTACCACCAGACGCTGCCCCGAGCCCTTGGCAGACGTTAGTGCTGATGCAAAGCCCCCTGCAGGCGTAGAGCCTAAGCCTAGCGGGGAGATGCAGAGGGAAATAAACCACAGCGAACTCTCCAGGCAGGCTGGAAGGGGGCGGCGCTATGGAAAAGGCCACAGTAGAGCGCAGGCCAGTGTCCCATGGGCGTGCCAGTCTTCATGGAAACACCCAGCTGGAGGAGGCAGGGGGCGCTCTCCCTCCACTGCCTAACTCCTGTCACCCAGAGAGCCAGGGTGGGCGCCTCTGCTCAAGTGAGCTTGTCCACACCTGCTTGGGTCTGCTCTCCTTCCCTTCTGGGCCCCTTCTCAGTCACTTCTCTGTTCTGATCCAAGCCTCATGCTTCCAGCCCCAACGACCCCTCCCATCACCTCACACCGGCACCCGACCACCCCCTGACCTGTCCCGCCATCAATGGCCTGGAGGGCCCCCACAGGGATGGTTCCAGAACACACCTCCAGACAGCTCCTCAGGTCCCGGGTCACCGTGGAGCACATCTGAGCCATCCAGTCCTACCCTGCGGGGAGAAACCAGTGGGAGTCACCCGCCGCTCTGCCCACCAGGAGGGGGAACTCATGGACGCTGCCCTGCCTCTGACGTCAGGGCGGAGGCTGCAGGCTGGTCCAGAAAGGGAGGTGCTAAGCTCCTACCACAGGTCAGTCTAGAGAGGAGGGTGGGTGCTGGCCCGCTCCTCCTGGCCCCGACCCTACACCCCCCACCCCGCCCGGGGGGTGGGGGGGGTGGTCTCCCTGACAGCCAGGTTGGGGGAGAGCAGACAGGGACTGAAGGTGGAGGTAGGGGGACCTGAGGGTGGGGGTGGGCACCTGCTGGGTGTGAGGCTCTGCTGGGCCGGCTCCTGGGCACCAGGTGGTGGGGGATGGGCGAACGCTGGGGCAGCTCCCGGGCGCCTGGTGGCATTCCGCACGGCCTCCTCCAAGAGCTCCATCCACCTGTGGTTCAGCAGGAGCAGAGGGCGGGTGGTAAAGCCTGGGCCCGGGCATGCCCCCGCAGACCCTCCCCGCGGGGTGTGCAGCCCCCCGTGCTATGCTCTGGGCTTAGCACTCCCTGTCTGCTCTGTCTTTAAACAGCCTCTCACGGGCATCAAGACGCACAGGTGACAACCCTGAGGCTAAGACGCTGACTAGGTGGAGCTGCCTCATGTAGCTGTTATGAGGGAACGAGGGACGAGTGATGGCCCTGGAGGCAGACGTGCTTGGTGGGGACAAAGAAGGACCACTGACACACTGGAGACCTGGTGGCCCCGTGAGCCTGCTGCCCTGCCCTGTCTCCCTCTCCTGCGCCCCGTCCCCTGCTTCTTGGCTGGGCCTCATTGCCCGCCACTCATACACACTGCCCTGGGCCTTCAATTCTTACGTGTTCTTGTCCGACGACGTCAGGGCCACCAGCTCATAGATCTGGGGGGGGCCCAGCTCGGAGGTGCAGATGATGAAGAAGGCCCGTTTGTCTGTGTGAGGAAGGGGAAGGATCTGCGTGGGGGTGGCAGAGCCGGACGGCAGCCCCAGCCAGGGCCACAAGGTGCTTGAAGCCCTGACCCTCGACCCGGGGTGGGGACCACAGCGGGACACAGCTGGCCACCGGAAGCACGCAGGGGCACGTACAGGAAAGCCAGAGGAGGTTCTGGACCCTCAGGCCCTCCTCACGGCGGCTCCCACTCCCCCTCCCCTGCCTCACACTCGCTGCCGCCCACGCTGCCAGAGGCAGGGGGGCCTCGCCCTGAATTATAGATGAAGAAAGTGGGCCCAGGGCCCCTTGCCGCACACACTGTTCCCTCCCCACCCCCGACCCAGGCCCCGCCCTCCTGCTTTGGTCAGGGCCCCCCACAGCCCACCCGCCCTCCTGCGCCGGCCCGGCGCGCACCTGTGGCCACGGAGCGGATGAGCACGGCGTTGAGCTTGAGCACGGGGCTGAAGGTCTGCCTGCTGTCCGAGGAGCCGGCGGCCGTCTTGCTGTGGCACTTGAGCAGCAGCCTCTCGTCCTGCTTCTGCAGCAGCACCAGGACGTCGTCCAGCAGCAGCACGTGCAGGTCTGGGGGGCGGGGGGGCGCTGTGAGGAGTCTCCTCTGGGCCCCGCCCCCAGACACAGGGCTAGAGTCCCGTGCCCCCTCCCTGGGCATGGCTGTAGGAGCCCTGTCGGCCCCTGGGTGTGCGGGCTGGAGGGCAGGGCGGGGGCACCCACCCAAGGTCTTGTCCTTGCTGATCCTCCAGGTCAGGGGCCCCTCGTGGATCATCTTCCTGGCGGTCAGATCCAGGCTCTGTGAGGGACACGCCATTCGTTCACTGCTGCCCGCCACGCTGCCGCAGAGCTGGGTGCCGGCGGCAAGCAAGAGGCGGCCTTCGCTCTGGCACTCAGATGGGGGCCACGGCACGACAGAGGCCACTGTGACGCCGTGTGTCACACCAGGGGGCTCGCCAGCGGCTCTGCCTGGGCCTCCCCCCCCGCCCCCTTTCAATCACCCCCCCAGCAACCTTCACCTGGACCCCAGCTCCCAGCCCCTGCTGGGCTAGGCGGATTCCAGCGCCCGTCCCCACTGACTGGGCCGTCTGCCGGGTGTGCGGGGGCCCCGCCGCCTGCCCCATGTCCCCTAGGCCCCGGCTAGCTCCACTCCCAGGTGTGCCCCCAGCGTGTGCGGTGGCCCCGCCTCCCACCTTGAACTCCGCCGCCAGGGGGTTGCTGGCCCTCTCCAAGGAGGTGGTGTCCAGGCGTTTCTGGTAACCCTCCAAGCGGTGCCGGTTCTCCGTCTGCTTCACGGCCTCGTTCACGTACTTGAGAATCTCCCGGCACTGGTCCCGGGCCCGGCACAGCTTCTCGTGCTCGGAGGTGCCGCCTACCGATTGGGGCACAGACCATGCTGAGGGGCTCCTGCCCGATGGGCGTGTCAGAGCCCAGCAACCCCGGCCACTGGTGGCCGTGAGCCGGCAGTGTGGGCACAGGTGTGCCGCCCTTGCCTAACTCCAGGGCCTCAGATGTAAGGGGCGCTGCCACCGAGAGTCCTGGGCTTCAGAGCACTGCCCTGGAGACATGGTCAGCTCTTGGGAACCGCTGCCTGGACCAGAGCCAGCTCGGTGGATGTAGGGGAGGGTCCTCACACCATACCCTGACTCCAACGCCCCAATCTCAAGGGCAGTGAGGGAAGCTTGGAGCCCCAGGGAGTGCCCCTGGGGCCAGCCCCTCAGCACGGCCCCCACACCTCTAGGGCCAGTACACATGGCTGCACTTGCATGTGCTGCATGCAGGCGTCCGTCCCCAGGCTGGGGGCGAGCCTCACACGCCCTCCCCCTGCTCAGCACCTTGGTTTCCCCAAAGCACACTCATAATCGTGCGAGACCGACCGGAACAAATGACTCCTGAAGGTCACAGAGCAGGCCAGTGCTAGAGCCAGGTCTGAGAGTGGCCCCGGCCCGCCCCTGCCCTCTGTGTGCCTGGGGACACTCTCCCCCTGCCCTCCCCCTGCCCTCCGTGCGCCTGGGGACGTTCTCCCCCTACCCTCCGTATGCCTGAGGACACTCTCCAGCAGCAGCGGGTACTTGGTGAGGCGCTGCATCTCTGAGATGATGAGGTCTCTGAGTTGCAGCCGCCGGCACTGAGGGTGGCTCTCGGCCTCCTGGACAGAAGGGGGCACAGCAGAGAAAGAGAACCACCTGCGCTTAAGAGCTGCCTTATGAGCTCATGACCCAGATGGGTGTGAAAATGTCAAGTGGGTCCTGGTCCCAGAGGGTGACTCAGAAAGGTTAAGGGAGAGACCGACTGGTGGGGGGCAAGGGAGGGATATGGTCAAATAAGCTCCAAGAGCAAGTGCTACACCCACTTTACAGACAAGGAAACAGACCTCCCACGTGCATACAAGAACTGAGAGGCGAACACGGCCTTCAGACAGCTACGCCAGGTCTGTCTTGAGAGTGGGCACGTGCCAGTGTTTCTGAGGCGGCAGTGTGGGATGAGGGGGGTGTGGAGGGGTGTGGAGGTGTCTGGGCTGCCCTCCCAGTGGAGAGGAGAGGCCGGCATGCCTGGCCCTGGGCACCAGGAAAGCAGCCCAGCAGCCCCCCGGTAGCCCTGGTCAGCCCCGCTGAGCTACAAGCGCACCAACTTCTGGTCAGGGCAGCCGGGGGTGGGGGTGGGGGGAGGCGCACCTGCATGAAGAGCTGGAACCGGCTCTCCTTGCGCTGCTTGGCCTTGATGAGCCCCAGGGCTATGGACTGGTAGGAGCAGAACTGGGCAGCCACTTGCTGGAGCTCCTCCCGCGCGGGGCCGTCAAACTGCAGCACGAGGGACACAGCCCAGACCTCACACCTCTGCCCTCCCCCGCCCTCCCCCGCCGCTCCGGTGGCCACGGGAAAGGGGACCCGGCTCCTCCAAGCGTACCCGAGCCAGCATGAGGTCACCAATGTCTTTGACGATGGGGCCCTCCTCCCGGAGCTTCCTCATGGCCTCACACCAAGAATCTGGGGCACGGAGAGAAGAATCAGAGAGGCCCGTGGTAGAGCTGCACCGCCGGGCCCGGTGTGAGCTGCAGACAAGGGCGCCATGGGGAGGGGCCCCCTGGAAGGCTGGCTGCAGGGCGCGTACGGAGCCGTCTGCCAGAGAGAGCTGGCGAGGGCCGTCTGCTCAGGGAGGCCCTGGCACGAGGCAGAACAGGGAGAGACACCCAAGGCCGGCCGGAGAAGGGGTGTGTGGGGGGGGACAGCGGGTGGGGAGGACGGCCCCTCACTGTGGATCTCTATGAGCTCAGGCAGGTTGGGGAAGAGCCGGGCCAGCTCCTCCCGGGGCATCAGGTTCTCCTTCTTCATCCGCTGGTAGAAGATCAGGTCCAGGACCCGGAGCGTGCGCAGGTGGGAGGCTTCTGTCACAAAGAGCTCTGAGCGGGGTGGTCACAGGACGAGAGGGACACAAAAGCACAGGGGGTCAGCAAGTATCCAGTTAATAACCGTCACCCCAAACCATTTCCGAGGAAGCCGAGTGCTGGCGTCAGATCGCAGGGCGACATCTCCCCGCCAGGGCCGTGCGGGACCGGCAGCATGGGCTGGTCCTGTCCGCGGGGAGCCACCTGGCTTACGACCGCCCTCCGCCCCGAGTGAGAGTGGCACGTGCTCACCGTTGATGACCTCCTGCCGGTCGATCTCCCTCTGGCTCAGCCCGGCCACCACGTCCTTGCCCACTGTGTGCTGCCAGTTCTGGGCGTCGGGCTCCGGCTCCAGGTCAGACAGCTGGCCCAGGTCGTCCTCTAGGAGGTGGGGGAGGAGGGCGTCTGCACCGAACCCCAGGCTGGGGGACTCAATGCTCCTGGGGAAGAGAAGGAAGGACTCATGCTCACGCCTGCCCCCGTCGCACCTGCCCTGGCCCACGCGAGAGCGGCGGCTGCAGACAGGCCCACCCGGCCAGCCACTAAGGGCCGGCAGTGCGGCCGGGGCACCCCACTCACCTGCGGCCCATCTTGGGGGTGAAGGGGGGGGTGGGGTTCTCCAGGGACCTGTGGAGAGACATCAGCCCTCAGCCCCCGCTGTGCCTGCCCCGAGAGGCCCCAGCTGACCACTCGAGCCCCGCCCACCTGGTGGAGAGGCTGGAGGCAGAGGATGAGGCTGACTGGTGGAGGCGGGCGGCCTCCGCGGCCGCATCCATGTCCACGTCGCTGCGGGAGCGGGGCACGTTCTCGGCCTTCCGAGACCGCTTCATCTCTTCGCGGCCCTTCAGGCTCTCCGAGCGGCCCAGGCGAATCTCTGAGCGTGAACTGGGGAAGCAGGGCAAGCAACCGTGGGGGCCTGCGTCCCGGACAAGCTCCTACCCGCTGCCAGGACTCTGGGCGCCCCCCGCCCCTCCCCAGGCCGGCTCCGTGGACATGGGCTCTCATCGTCCCCGGGGACCCACCAGGAAAGGGAGAGCAGGGACCAAGAGAATCAGACCTGCGCGCATGCCACAGACCCCACCCCTCCAGGAAAGCTGTGGCCGCCACGGGCCCTTATCAGGGACCATGAGGTCCTCGCTCCTGTCCTGGGCCATCTGGTGGCCGGTCCATCTTGTCCTCGACTCCAGAGCAGCTCAGCGCCCACTGAGGGCCCTGCTTGAGGCAGAACTCTCCTTCCATAGGATCTTCTACCAGGATGTACAGGCACGCCCTTCACACCCGTCCTGGGCTCCCTGCAGTCCTATCAGAGGCTCCGTCCGCGGGCGGCTCCTGCCCCTCCAGCGGCAGTGTGGGTTCTGCTCTATCTCACGGCATCCTTCCTAAGCTCCACGCCCCTCCTGGGGGCAGGCTGAGGGGGGGGGCATCTACTGACCGGCAGGGACCTGCCCCCTCACCTGCCATGTGTGGCTGAAAGACCTACAGACAAGACTCAGCACCTCAAGTCCCAGAGACTCCTTGGCGGGAGGAGACGCTGATGGCCGGGTGTTGCTCTTTCCCGCATCCTGTGACGCGTGAGTGGGGAGACGGCTGGCGTCTCTGACCCCTGGCTGCCCCAGGATGGCGCCTCCCTCCTTGGCCCTGCTGGCTTGGTTCTTGCTGACCTGCTCACTGATCTGCGTCCTGCCCCCAGCCTCCAGGGCCAGGGACGGCCTGCAGGGTGTGGGCAGCTAAGAGCACAGCAGGCGGCTGCAGCAAAGGGGCCCAGCACCCTGGTCTCCATTTATCATGGGTCTCTCAGCTGCCAAGGACCCCAACGGAGCTGCCGTGGGGTCCTGAGTGACAGAAGCCACCCTGCAGCCGACCCCCTCAGCCCACTCCCGGGGGCTGCTGGAACGCCTCCAGCCAAGCCCGCTGAGCCAGCACTTTTGCCAGTAACCTTCCACCTGAGCACCGGACAAGCCCCACAAGCGACAAGTGGGGCGATGTACCTCTGGTCCCCGATCCCTAGAATGCCACCTTCTAGACCTGGGGGCTCTTCATCTGCCGACCCCTGACCCGCCTTTTCCGCTAAGACTGCCAGTGAGCTTACAGCTGGCAAAGCCTAACGCTCCTGCTGATGGGGGACTAGGGGTCTTAGGGTCTCAGCCTGTTCACCTGGCAGCTTCAAGGGCACAAGGTTAAAAATGGTCTCCACTTTTTTTCTCACAACGCTGGTGTCAGGTCTCTGTATGTCTGATGCATCCATAACATCGGCTACACATCCTGTTACTTATACACTTAATTCACTCCATGATTAGAGCTGGGCCTCTCGGCTCGGGACAGAGCTAACCTTCACCTTCCCTTACAGCTTCGTGTGTTCTCGCCATGGCGGAGCCCCCACGCACGCTGAGCTTGCAGAGGTTACACAAGCAGGAGCGACTGTGCACGTGAGCAGGAACTGGTAGCTGAGGACTGTCTCACAGGTAAAATGGGTGGCCCCCCTCAGCTGCCACCTGGCCTGTGCTTGCTCACTGGGTGCACATACGTGGTACTTCCGTACACGCAGGGCCCCATCTACTATAGCGCCAGGGTGACCTAGGGAACGTGCACGGAGCTTTCCGACCACAGGGGGTTTTAACTAAGTGTTGGCTGCAGAATTTCAGACATGACGTGGCTGCTGTCATGCCTCAGTCCAGAAGGAGTCCAGGAGCACGCTTCAAGGCCGGAGAAGGGCTCTCATTAGAACGTGGCCAAAGACAGAGAATATATGAGATGCCACGGCTGCAAATCCCCTTTTCTTCTCGAAAGTGGTTTGAACCAGCAGAGTCAATCTCCAGCACTTTCTCACAGGCCCTGCCCCACCCTGTCTCCCCAGGATCTCCCCTCACCACCCCCGCCCCCGTCCTCTCTAGCCCCAGCATCTAGGGTGTCCGGACTAGCTGCTCTGTAACGTCCTCTAGCTGCTCAGAAGTCGGGGGGTGAATCCAAAGGAGACATTAAAGACATGCAGTCCCCGGGCTGGGAGGTCGGGGCTCTGCTGTGTCCCCCACTGGCTGGACTGCCGACACACGGCACGTCTTTTTCTGAAGACACTGTGGAGCGGCTGCGAGTTCTGCGGTGGGGATCGTACTGGCTAGCGGAGTGGGGGACGTCCCTGGAATTAGCCCTGCTGCACACCCTGCCCAAGATCCCCTCCGTGGGGGGCTGGCGAGCCCCATGGGGCCCCTGCTACCTGTCACTCTCCAGCAGGTCCTCAGGAAAGCTGCCCGTGGAGAGCCGCTGCGTCCCAGGCTCTGGGGCGTCATATGGCTGGTTGTTCTCAAAGTGCTGAATGATGTTCCTCACGTTGCCGGGTTTGACTGTAAGCAGAAAGACAATGAAGGGTGCTCTGCTTGCTGCTCAGGACCCTCGCTCCCCTCGGCCCAGAAGCAGAGCAGTGAACAAGCACAGATGACAGCAGCACGGGGCTGGGGACCGGGAGATGCGGGGCCGGTCCTCGAGACCAGTTCCTGGTCCTCTCCCGATAACCTGGAGAGTGACGGGGCGGTCACTCTCTCCCACGTGCAAAACGAGGCAGTTTGGAGGTGCGTTTCTTGTGGATATTGCCTTCGGCCCTCACATTCGTTGTTACAGTGACTCTCAGGCTTAACGTATGATGAGATTTTTTTCCAAGAGCCAAATACAGAATAAAACACCGGCCAGTAGCACCCAAAAACCTTCTCTCTGCAGTTTGGCCATGCTGCCAGGTTACAGTAATCATTCCCCAAGTTTATACTACTTTTAGAGCTCATTATTTCTGTTCTTGACTTTTCTTCCTGTTCTTTCCGTCCCTGCCCCTGGTCGCTGCCATCATTAATGAATCAGACCCTTTATTATCAGTGAGCAGGGGTGGTCTTAGGGTAGACAGGAAAGGGGTCACTCTCTGGCATTCAAATTTCGGCCCCTCTTCAAAGCTAAGACAAAAGAGGGCTGTTCCTGTTCAAAGAAAGAGAGAGAGCAGGTACGAAAGTCACAAGGCTCATGGGATACCCGCAGAAGACTCCTCCTCAGAGATGCAGTGACATCAGCCAGGAGCTGGGCTACAGAGGCCCATCTGCCTGAGACCAACAGGAAGGGCAAGGGGGGACCAGGGAGCAGGCGAGGCCCTGATCCTACCCACATGGACCAGAGTTCCCTCCCCCCATGCAAACCCACAAATCCCCCTAGGTCTCTAAACTTGGCTTTCACAGGGAAAGTTCCCAGGCCAGAGGAAACCACATCCAGCTGATCCCTCCAAACTCGGTATCATTTAGGCAGGTAGCTGGGGTTGGAGCTCTCCGGGGACGCGTCAGAGGCAGCCGCGTCAGGAGTCGGGGCTGGTAGCATCAGGCCCGGCCTGGAGTCTAGGGCTTGAGCCGCCTGCTGCAGGGTCACGGCTCAGGGGCCTGGGAACACCCTGCAGCAGGCGGCCACCGGGATGAGCCCACTGCTCCCTCCCCTGTGTGCCTGTTCTCGGGTATAGCTGCATCCTGTGGTGAGAAACAGGAGAGCGGCCATCACTGGGTAGAGTCAGGGAAAGGGGATAGAAAAAAGGCAGAAAGGGACACAATTTTTTTAAATGAGCACGTTTCAGCTGGTGTTCTCTGTTCTGCTTCCTCTGTTCTCTGCATAACAATGACACAGAAGGGAACGTAAATTCCATATTATTAACTACCAGATACGGTAGCTGTTAAGCAGGGGCAAGAGCTGATGACCCTAATTGGTCTTCTACCACCACTGGGGGCGGTTTGGCCTTCAGATATGGACACAGACTTTGCTGACGCCCTGGGGACTTGAGAGCCAAGGCCACACTAAATCACTAGATTACAATGGAAAGATCTAACTCAGAGATGGTGGATGCCAGGCCCCTTACGCTGTCCTTGGGATCCTGGCCCTCAAAGCTGCTGTCTCCTCCTGCCTCCCCTAGGCGGGGTGGACAGGAGGAAGTGTGTGTTAAGATCTAAGGGCCTGGGCTTCAAGGCCATTCTTTTATTTTTCCATTGTTTTAGATGCCTTTCCTCAAAAACATTTTCTTTTTTTTTTAAAGTAGCATAATGAGGGGCGCCTGGGTGGCTCAGTCGGTTGGGGGTCTGACTTTGGCTCAGGTCAGGATCTCACAGTCTGTGGGTTTGAGCCCTGCGCTGGGCTCTATGGTGACAGTTCGGAGCCTGGAGACTGCTTTGGATTCTGTGTCTCCCTGTCTCTCTGCCCCTCCCCTGCTCATACTCGCTCTCTTTCAAAAATAAGTAAAAAACAATTCAGTGAACTAGCAATCGTCTAGGAATTTAGTAACGTTGAAATACTTTTGAAAATCATTATTCTTGGGGCGCCTGGGTGGCTCAATTAGGTTAGGCATCCGACTTTGGCTCAGGTCATGATCTTATGGTTCGTGGGTTCGAACCCTGTGTTGGGCTCTGTGCTGACAGCTCAGAGCCCGGAACCTGCTTCAGATTTTGTATCTCCCTCTCTCTCTGACCCTCCCCTGCTCACGCTGTCTCTCTCTCTCTCAGAAATAAATAAAACATTAAAAAAAAATATATATATATCATTCTTAATTGTCACTTCACATAAAATGAATTGTAGCCGCCGAACAATTTCCTACTTCGTTGCACTGCTCTCTGCAGATTCAGTGGAGCCTTGACCACATTAATCACGTGGCTGTGCTCACGGGGGTCTCACTGATGAGACCTGAGCTCGTCCAACTGCAGGTTGTCAGCCTCCCTGGGTTAACGTGTATGACGCATGTTTTTGGCGTGCAGATCCCGGACGGCCCAGGCCCTCCAACATGCAGCAGGGGTGACGCTGTGCCGACCACGTTAAGTCAGGAGCGGTGCATGCACCGCGCTCAAGGGCTTAAGCAGAGCAGGGGACAGATGGTGAAAGGCCCCCAAGAAGGACTGTTAGAGACCCACTGTTTACGAGAGAAACCCCGTGTAACTGTCAAAAATGAGGATTTTTGTTATTTCAGTCGAGACAAAAACCTGAGCAGCTCGTGCAGGACATTTTAATGTGTGAAGGCTCGTGTACCCAGGGGCCCGGACCTTCGGAGCCCGTTCCCTGGGATGTGAGAAAGGGACAGAGTGGGCCAAGGGCCGGGCGGCTGACCTCTGTGACACGGCCTGGAGCAGCCCCTGAGGAGGCCGAGGGAGCAGGAGGGAGGCACACGGAAGACAGAGATGGAGTGAGGCGACGGGGGACGGGGAAAAGGACAGACAGACTTTAGAGATGGAAACTCAAAGCTAATGCAAAGAAAAACCCACAGAAAATGGTCCTTTTACCTTCCACAGGGGACAAGGGAATATGAAATGCTAAAAGAAAACAAACAAAAACAAAAGTAAACCATGAAAAGTCAAATAAACGTCTCAGCGGTCAAAACAAAACTTACATCAAGCTGGAAAATGAAAAATGAGTGGCAAAAATCAGGTCTGATCTAGGAGTCCCCCCTTCCACAGCCCCCAGGCAGCAATTTCAGAAGAGGCCACTGGCCCACCCACCCCACGGCCCTGCCTGGATTTCCCAAGACTAGTACCAGGGTCTGAAAATGCTGACCGGGAGGCCAGCAGCAAGCTCCAGACCAGCGACAGGCTTGACTGAGTGTCAGGTGAGTGACAGCATCCAGGGAGACACTGGCGCGCCCCCCACCCCCCCCATTCTAGTTCTGCCTCACAGGAAGTCTGACTTCTCATCGGGCCCACAACTGCTCCCAGCACATGTCAGAGGCACAGACGAGGCCTACTGGTAAAGGTGACGGGGGCACTTACTGTCCACGGAGGGGCCCCACCAGGCAGGACACGCCTCCGCGTGGCTGGTCGGTGGCTACACTGGCTCTGAGCCCCTAGACTAAGGCCCGGGGACGGGCACAGCCTCGCTGGCCTCTGTACCTCGGGGAGCCTGCACACGGTGTGGCAAGGGGGCAGAGAGCAGCGCTGAGAGGGAGCTGGGGTCTCAGAGGGAGGGTGTGCAGCTGCCAGACACAGAAGGGTCTCCGCCAGCCGGCTGGTGGGTGACGGGGCTGCGGCCCCCGCCCCCCATGGACTCACTGCTCTGCGAAGAGCTCTTAGGCTTCCCGATGTACTTGAGGATAGGGTTTCGCCTCTTGTCCTCCAGGGCTTCCTTGTCTTTTTTGGAATTGCTGCTCTGCTGAGACAGGAGACACCGGCCTTGGAGAAGGTCCCCATCCCCAGATTCGGCCGCTCCTCACCGCCGCTGCCCCCCAGGCCCGCCCTAAATGGCCAGCTGGAAGGCAGACTGCTGCTTACTCCCGCACCAGCGCATGTGTGTCTAGGCTGGGTTCGAGCTCATCCGTGAGCTCTCACGGACCCCCCGCGCCCCCGTGCCGTGGCAGCAGGGTCAAGCGAGTCTGAGTGGCTTTCCCAGGCTGGCCTCATGCAGAGAACCGCACCAGAGGACACTTGTCTAGGCAGCTCTGTCACCTTCTTGGTCTTTGGGAAGAAGGGCAGCCATTTGTCCTTGTCGGGGGCCACCTGGGCCTTCTCGGCCGCGCTGGAAGGCCGTGCCTCTCGAGGACGGAGCCCAGCGTGGCTCATGTAGGCGTTGAGGGCGAAGTCCATGGGTGCACTGTGAGCGAGGAGCAGAGCGGGCAGTCAGAGCCCAAGCTGTGCCGGCCAGAGGGCGGCAGGGCCGGAGCTGCTCCGACCAATCTCCAGACCACCGCCCGGGGCTGGCGGTGGGACAGCTACAGGCCGGGTGCTGGGAAGGAGGCCTGGAATTCTCAGGGGGCCCAGGGCGACCCTGGGCTGGCAGCAGTCCTGGGAGAGGCCCAACTCTCTCCCCAGAGCAGGACGCTTCCTGAAGACAGGAGAGTAGTTGGCAGAAGGACGTGGCCGGTCCCTGCGATGTAAGCCCCTGGCAGGCCCAGGGGACCAATGCACGCCCACGGCCATCGTCCCCGGGCGTCCACATGTGCAGGGAAAAGGGGAGAGATGCCAGCCTGCCTCTGCCTTTACCACCCTCCCGCCCCTGGCACAGAAGAGAGGGACGGAACGGAGCTGCCACGAGCCCACGTGGAACTGTCCAGAGCCCGTGTCTGGAAGTGTCTCTGGCTTTGGACTCAGGAGGCGGACCACGCACTTTGTGGGTTCAGTGCAGCAAAGGCCTCAGTTATGGCTCACCCTCCCCACCCCCAGACCCCTCGCCTGCCTTCCCTCGGACTCAAGTGGGCGCATGCTCCCTTCAAGGCTGGTGGCCCCAGGGGCAGGTCCGCATACGGGCTGCCGAAACCCCAGAGCCTGCATCGGAGAGGAGAGGCGCTGCTCCCCAGCTGCCCCCAGGGGCTGCAGACGCAGGCTGATCTGTCCCCATCACTTCGCGCAGTGGCTTACAAGATCAAAGCCAGAAGGAGACACAGCTAATTCGGGTGGCAGTGAGGCGGCCAGCTCCGGGCACATCGGGGTGAGGGCAGACCCTGCCCCAGGTGGTGGTCCCCGAGCAGCAGGGGCCTGGACCTCAAAACCCCGCTCTATAGCTACACAGACACCTGGGACCACGCCTGGATGCACTGTGACCTCGACGCTTGGGGTGCCCCCGGGACTGGCAGGATGGCAAATGCACGGCGTGCTCACTCACCTCCTGTCCTCCTCGTACTTGGACCTGGAACAGAGAGAGAAGCGGTGACATGCAGGCAAGGCACAGGCGTGTTGGCCGCACGGGCACGGAGGATGGGGGCCGTGGGGGCGGGGAGGCCAGGCCTCTACTCAGGGTCCCGGCCCTGGGCCGGTGTGGGGCTCAGGAGGCGAGAGCGCTCACTCCTGCGGGGCCCTCAGTGCAGGGACAGAGAGGTCCTTCCCGCTAAAAAGGGACGCGGCCAACACAGCCTCTGACGTGATCCTGGGGGAGGGGCCGCCAGAGAAGCCCACTCACACGGCGGGCGGTGGCGGCACCCACCAGCTGACGGGCCACGCTGCGCCAGGCACTGTTCTAAGCGATTTACACGTTAACTGACTGAGTTCTCAAAATGCCCGCCGAGGTGTCAGAGCTCCGTCAGCAAGGCCCGAGCGGGGTGCCCGCTCTAACAGGCCATGGGGCTCTGTGCTGCTAGGGCCTCCGGACAAGCTCAGCCAGCTTTGCCCCCGTGCCTGGAGTGGCCGGGTCACTACTGCCCTCAGACCGCCAGGGAAACTGAGGCCCACAAAGCTCCAGGGCTTGGCTGAAGGCCAGGCAGGGCTCCAGGGAATATGCCCCCCCCACCATGTGACGTCGTGTGCGGTCCCGCCTCTCATCTGCTGCCAGAGGCACACCTGCGGCCCCGCCTCCAGGGCGCCACCTCGAACTGCCGCTACAGCCACCCCAAGCTCAGCCGCTGGCACCTCGTCCTTCCGGCTGCGTGGATACAAGCTGTGGGGTCTTCCCTGGCCCACACTTGGTTTTAGGAAATGCCTGTGTGCTCTACTGTCGGGATACACGTGGGACTCTGACCTCATATCACGGCGAGCGGCGCCCCTGTCCCGGTCCAAGCCCCACCACGTGGGCCGCTGTGCGGCCAGGGAAAACCGGAGTCCACACACGGCCCTCAGGCTCTGCGGCTGCCCTCCTGTCACCTCTGTGACCTGGGCACCCGCCTTCTCAATCTGCTCCGGCCACGCTGCTCTCCGCTGTTCCCTGAATGTCAAGCCTGCGCCTCCCTGGCCCTGCCTCTGCCCCCAGCGGTCTTCAAGGATAAGGGCCCCACCTTCTTCAGTTGTTCCAATGTTACGGCTCGCCAGGGCCACCCCGTTTAAAATGGCCACCCACTGGCTCTGGGGTGGTGACCCCTCCTCTGGCCCGCTCTACCCCTCGCTATTTCCAACACGTTACAGGCCTTACTCGTTTACTCAACATCGCGTTCTCTTCCCTTGTGATGTGAGCACCACGGACGCTGTTCGCCACGCGTCCCGGGAACTGAGGGTGACCGCAGATGCTGCTGCACCAAACAGCAGCGTTAACAGAGGCCACAGACCATCTCTGTCCGCCTTCTGCCATTTGACAGCTGAGACCAAGGTCCTTCAGCACTGAGTGGAGAAGCCCCTAAGCCTGAGGTGTCCCCACAAAGTCACACAGGCGGCACTGGGAAGACGGGACAGGAGAGGCGCGGCCACCACGGTCGAACCCAAGTTCCTGACCAAGTTGGGCCAGTCTTCTGACACCTGACCGAACCGACGCGATGAAATGATTCACCCTCCCGTCCACCGGCGGGTCTGCCCCCTGCAGGCCCATGCGTGGCCCTCTTGGCAGGGTCCACGTGATGGTACAGGCAGGAGGCAGCACTGTCAGGAAGGGGGCTCGGAAGCGGAACAGAAAGCTCCGCGGGGAGCCCCATGAGTGCCCACGGCCCTCGCGTGAGCACGGCAGCAGGAGCCGGGCCCTCCCCACCTTCCGGGGAGAAGAAGCAGGCAGTAGTCGAGGCCGAGAGGCCAGGAAACAGGCTCACAGAACACTCGCGTTGTCCCGGGGGGCAGGGTGGGGGCACTCACAGGATGTCTCCCAGGGCAGCCAGCTGCTTCTCGGCCACTTGGCGTTCCCGGAGAGGGTCCCCATTCAGGTCCAGCAGGTCATTCTCACCGTACAGACTGCCCAGCCCCAGGGTGCGCTTCGTTCTACGCCAGAGGAGGAAGTGAGCGAACACGAATGCTCAGCAGGCACCCGGAAACAGTGAGGCAGACGCGCGCACAAGGGATGGGCGAGGACGTGGGGGGCCTGGGGGGGACCCACAACCTGTAGTCCTGGATCTGCTCCTGGATCTCGGGCATGGCTGCCTCCTGGGCTTCCCGGAGGGCGGTGCGGACGTCCTCGCCGGCGCGCAGACGCAAGTCTGGTGGGAACCCAGGGAAGAACAGGGTGTCGGGAAGCGGGGGCCATGCCTAAGGAGCCTCCGAGGCCCGGACCCAGCAAGTCACTCCTGAACTCAGGAGTCCGGGTCCCAAGGCAAGCGCAAAACATTTTCTGGATATTCTAGGCGGTTATGTGGACCGATAAAGCCCTGTCTGCCAGCAGGTGTGCCCAGGGCTGCCCTCCGACGCCACAGCGCAAACCTCCCATTCTTCGCGGTCACCAGGCCAGGGTGCGAGGCTGAGAAAGGCAAGCACCTCACACGAAGCCCCAACCACCCAGCAGAACCCAGATGGCGTCTGGCCTGCCCCTGCTGCAGCTTCTCGCAGGCGAGGGACCATCCACCCTGCGGCCTCTTGGTTGGGCCACGAAGCGCCCTTTCTGAAGGCAGCCTGGGATGCCTGCTCTAGAAAGCTGCCTGGGACCCGCTTCTCAGGCTGACACCCCTCATGCCGGCTCCCTCAGCAGTTCTATCACGACGGGGGAACGAGTTGGGGACAGAACACTCTCCTAGCCAGCGGGTCCTCAGCGGGCCAGCCGCCGGCAGTATCGGTGAGGAATTTATGGAAACACAAATACTCCGGAGATCCCAACCCGAGGTTGGATGGAGTGAGGCCCTGGTTTCCAGATTTTCAAGAACTCCCCCAGGGATTCTGGTGATCAACCAGGCTTAGGGATCCCTCAGGTTCGACCGCCCTTTCATACAGACGGCCCCACGGTGCCCAGAAAGGTCCAGGGGAAGGCCGGCAGAAACAGGCTCAAGGCTGATGGGGCAACCGCCCTGCCCTTTCCCTCCTAGAGGAGGGCTGCCCAGGGATGGGGGCAATGTGCCCTCTGTGCTCTGGAGCCTCCCATGGCCCAGGATGAGACTCACTGGCCAATGAGCCGACTTACCAATTTCAGCCTGCAACATCTCTGGGACCTTCACTCTCAGCGGCTGGAAGAGAGCAGAGTGGGGGCGGGGGCAATAAGGCCCACAGCCCGGGGTACACGGGAGACGCTGCCCGGCGGCAGGGAGGACTGCAGCACCCCCTCTCCTTCTCTGACACACGGCCCACCATCCTCCCCTCTGCCCCTCGGAAGCCTGCGCTCGAGCATGAAGCTACAGGGCGAGCGGGGCCATCCTCTGGGGCACGTGCAGGCTTCCCACTTTGCCTCACGGACATCGGGTGTGCGGGATGCAGAGGGGCAAACTCGGCAGCAAGGGGGCAAGTTTACCAGGCCCTGTCTGCTCCCTCCGGTCAGCAGTGTCCCAGGGAGCAGAGGGCAGGGGCCCTGAACGCGCGGCCAGGCTGGTTCTGCAACCCCCGCGAGGCACAGCCAGCAGCGGCCACCCCCGTGCAGACCCACCAGAGGGACACTTCACTCCCCAGGCTCGTTACTCCTGCCCGCTTGTGTTCTGGGACTGGAATTTGGGATTAGTGTGGTTGCTCAGAGCGTGGCATCTGTGACACGCTGCCCCGTGCAGGCAGGGGCCGCCCTGTCCATGCAGCCACCCTAGCCTCCTCCTGGGAAGCCCGCTCTGGGCTGAGCACGAGGACCCCGGCTCTGCACCTGGGCTCATGGATCCCGGCCACCTGGTGTCTCTGCAGGGAGGACCCCGCGGGGACAGGCGGGCAGAGGGAGGACCCCGTGGGGGGGGGTACGGGCGGGCAGGGGGAGGACCCTGCGGGGGGGGTACGGGCGGGCAGGGGAGGGGGCAGGGGAGGACCCCGCGGGGGGACGGGCGGGCAAGGGGAGGACCCCCCGGGGGGCGGGCGGGGAGGACTGCAGGCAGCCAGCACTGACATGGGGACAGGAACCAGGATTTGGCACAAATTATCTCCAAACGTCTTGAGACTCAACGTGCACTACAGGTGGCCACTCACGGGGCAAAGGGGCCAGGAGAGGAGCTCAGGCCTGAGAGCAGGGCCGGGAGCGGGACCCAGGCGCTGTCAGCCCCAACTTCTCCTGAAGAAGCAGCCTCCATCCGGCCTGATGGTATGGCTTCACTCTGCCTCTGCTCCTGAGCGGCCACCAGGAGAACAGTAAAATTGTAATTCAACCCATGACCGGCTTACCGCGTTCTTCTCCAGGAAAATACTCCAGATGTCTTTCCCCAAGCTTCGGGAATCCCTGGGGGTCGCCTGCTGATACACTTCGGCACACAAGTAAAACAGCTAGGAGGAGAGAGGAGGGGGCTGGAGCGCTGTTCTCAGTGGCCCCTCCGTGGAGCAGTGATTCCACCTCCAAGGGACAACGGGCAGGCAGTGCCTGGAGGCCTTTCTCTGGAAAGGTGTGGGGCACCTAGTAGGTGGAGCCTAGTGATGCAGCTGAGAACGGAAGATGCACAGGACGGCCCCCAACAAAAAATCCTACGGCTCAATGTCATCACGCTGAGGCTGGGAACCGTGGCTTGGGCCCCAGAAACCTCTGCTCAACCCCACACCCCCTGCCATCTGCCCATTGGCTTCCAACACAGGCACCCTGAACACCAGCGTTTTGCCCGGGGCCGGTCTGTATCGTGTTCTCCGCGGGCTGCGTCCTACTTGTGTCTGTGACGTGCCGGAGGCTCCGACACACAGCACGGGGACCCACACGCTGCGCTCCCGGCCCTGAAGGCCAACAGCCGCTGTGCCTTGTGAGGAACACGATACCCGCCCCTCCGGTCCATCCCCTTCCTTCCGAGCAGCTGAGCAGCAGGAAAGAAGCGGCCGAGACAGCCGGCCCCGAGCCCTGTCCCAGGGCACCCCACTCCCTGTACACCCGTCATCACCTCTGTCCCCTCGCCCCTCGTTAAGCCTCCCGCAGGAACGTCACACGTCTGCAAGGCCAGGGCCACTCTAGACCGTCTCCGAGTGGACGGAGAAGGCTGGCGGCTCTCCTGGCCTCTGTCCCTGCGCCTCCTGACGCCCTGACGCGCTTGGCGGTGCAGTCTTCCTGACTGACCTGCACCTTCGTCCCTGTCTGTCTCTGTCCTCGAGCGGCCTGCTGGCGCACCAGAAGGGACTTACCAGGGGGCTGGGGTCCGCCTGAGAGAAGATGTACCGCAGGAACACGCCCAAGTGGGCTGGCCGGGCCTTCAGCTTCTCGAGGTCCTGGAATATGATGTCGCTCTGGAAGGCAGATGCAGGCGGGGCTGTGGAGCGCAGGGCGGGGGACAGCAGCACGGCCTGCAGCTCCGCCCCCACGGCCCCCGCCCCTGGCGCCCACCCTGTGCCCCTCACGGCCAGCGTGGGTCTAACAGCTTCTAGTCAACAGCAGCAGTGTGACGATGACGAAAGCGGAGAATCAGGGAACCGTTACCTCGTTGTTGAAATAACCCGCGTCACAGTCTTCCTCTGGGCCTATGATTAAAGGCTTTGGGCTCTGGTCTGTGCCCTGCAGAGAGAGTCCAGGCGCAGGGGGGTCAGGGGCCCAGGGGCCCGCACCATAGCTGTGTGGTGGGGTGCTGGCATCCCCCTTCCTCCCCTCATCTCAGAGGACAGACCTCCGTTTTCAGCGACCAGAGTCGAGGACTCTGGCCAGGGAGGCACAGGGATGTGCACGCAGAGACAGGAAGTGAGAAAAGGCGCCCTTCCTGTTTGCGAAAGACCCCAGGACATAGCGCCAGCTCCTGGGGCCGTGGCCTGGGGCTCTGTGGTCCCTTCAGCAGCCATGCCCATGTCCGCCGCGGCCCACAGCGACCAGGCGCCGCTGGGCACTCGCCGCTCCGTCTCCATCATAGGACAGCTTGGGACCCATCTCTACCTCCTGGAGCAGGACGGGGCGGAGACAGCCAGTCCTTCCCCAGGTTGGCGGCTCAGTCCCCTGGCCTGCTCAGGCTCCACGGACCTCCATGGCCTGCCTGAATATTCCAGACCTCTGAGCATGCCTTTCTTCCCTTCCTCCTTGGGCCGGTGTTACTAGAAGCCCAGCCTAACTCGTGTGTGGTACCTGTCAGGTGCGCAAGTTCATTCTGCACAGACTGATTTTCAGATGCTTCACTGGATGAGCTTTCTCCTGAAGGTTCTACAAACTTTTAAAGCTTTTCCACCACTGTTTTCCACTGAATTCAATCTGCCTCATTTCCAAGCATTCCCCAATAAAGGCCCTGCTCTGGAGCCCGTCTGGACATGGCCACTTCTTCCAGGCCTGTGATGCCCTCCCACCTGACTTGCTCAAAGGGCTTTTCCTGACAGTGCCTCCTGGAAACTCATCACTCATTGTTATCCTGATATTCGCAGACTCGACGCTCAGAATGACAGTGTCCCAAAACATGAGACCCAGAAGGCACGTCAAAGATCCGTGAGGCGCTCACTGCCAAATGAAAACGTGAGGCCCGGACAGCCTGAACGGCCTCCTCTCCTGTGACACCCGGGTGTCTGCATCCCTTGGGGTCCAGGGCTGGTGGACAGCCACTTCTGGCTCTACTTGGCTCGCTGGGGGAACCTGAAAACACCAGGTTTTTGCTTGTTGTTGGGGGGGGAGATTTGTTTTTTAAAGTCTTTAGAAATATGCAATTTTTCTTATTACAAAAGCAGAATATGCTTATTAAAAAAATGAGACACTGTACGATTATGCAAAATGGAACAGTTCCCCCGACTCCGCCCACCCCTGCCCTTATTAGCACAGATTATGAGTAAGAACGCAGAACAGGGGGCGCCTGGGTGGCTCAGTTGGCTAAGCATCTGACTCTGGACTTTGGCTCAGGTCATGATCTCAGTTTGTGTGTTCGAGCCCTGTGTCGGGCTCTGTGCTGACAGCTCAGAGCCTGTTTGGGATTCTTACTCCCTCTCCCTCTCCCTCTGCCCTTCCCGCCAACATGTGGTCTCTCTCTTGAATAAGCAAGTTAAACACAAAAGCAAACTAAGAACTTGGAACCACAGTATAGCTGCTCTTATGGTTCAAAAATAACAACTTAGTTTTCTGAAACGGACAGATTCAGAGAAGGAGAAGAGAACTCTACGACCAGTTACTGCACGCGTGCTGCCATTGGCTGCCCAAGGGGGACCTCGCTCAGGGGCAGGATGTGCACTGGGCATGGCCCCCGCGGTGGTCCCGAGGGAGGGCAGTGGGGGGAGGAAGCGGCCCGCGCTCAGGAGACGGCGCTCCAGCTGAAGCTCCGTGAACGAGTGGAGGCCTGGGGCGGCCCCTCAGCCTTTCTCTCACCAGGTGGACTCTGACGCTCACCTCCCTTCCGGGTGGGGAGAAGGAAGGGGATGTTTTCTGAGGGGCCGAGCCCAGCAGCTGGCGCACCAGGCATGTTGCATGTTAGATCCACTCCCCTGCCTCCCCCCCAAGATCCCAAATGAGCTCACCTCTGCCCCTGGATAAAAGCAGAGCCCCCAATAGTGTGCGATGTTGGGTTTACACCGGGTAATGGCAGAGATCATTGACAAGTAAGTGTAAAGCTTCAAGAAGTGAGTTAGCTCAGAGAAAAACCCAGAGCAACGTCATGGACTTGGTTAGAGGATGAGGGAAAGGCCATCGTGGCGGTGACAGGTGAGCGGGAAGAGAGACAGCTTTACAAAACCAGAGCCCCGCGTGTCACTGGTACAGAACAGCTTCCGCCACAACAGTGACACGCAGCTCCCTCAACAGCCCAGACCCTTGGCGCGCTTCCTGTGCTGAACTCAGAGCTCTCTTCCCGGGACTCCTCTTATGGTCCCACCCTTGGGGACAGCAATTCCCAATCAGGTTTTTAGGACCGTGGGGCCACAGGAAGTGCCCTGGGGACGCGGGAGCTGAGTTTTTATTTGTCTGCGGTAGTAGGGTGCCAAACAAGGGTAAGACTTTGTGTAAGAAAAAGGATTCTGCTGCAGAAAGAGAAAACTGGAAAGTAGTGCTCTGGAGGAAGACTGCACAAATCCGTCTGCTGCTCTACGTGGACAGCCGTCTGCTCTGCGACGTCCCTTCCCTTCCCCGCACATGTACTCGCTGGCTTCGTATAGTCCGAGACAGAGTTCAAGCACCCACTTAAGCCATGTTCTTCCTTCCCTTTTGTTCTCTAGGCAAAAGTCTATCTCGAAGCGGGTTTAGCCTGAGGATTCCAGGCCATGCACTGGAACGTGGTTGGGGAGGAGGGGAGAGAAAGCCGCAGGGGGCTCTGGACCCCTCACCTGGTCACTGGCGCTGGGCACTGGTGCATCCGAGCCCTGCCGCCGGTGGTGCTGGGCCACCCTGGCCATGATCACCGGGGAGGTTCGGGGACTGTCCGGCCCAGGGTCTGATAAGGCGGAGTTCCGATTCTTCAGCGCCTAGAGTAACAAAGAGCCCATCAGAAACCGCTGCTCCGCTCGTGCGGTGGAGCCCATGGCCAGCGGCACACGGACATTCCTCCGCGCCCGCCACTGCTCGGGGCCCGCCGTTAGAGAGCACCTGGCTCAGCGCTCACAACCGCCTTTTGAGGCAGATGCGACCTCTCCTCCTGCTTCTCACACAAGGAAACTAAGGCTCAGGGAGGTCATGAGGTTTGCTGAAGGTCGGGACCCAGCCACGGGTGTTCCCTGGAGCCGACAGCTCACAGCCTTCCGCCCTATGCCAGGTCGCCTCTCGGACACCCAGTCCTCAGGATGCGTCGACTTCGGACTGTCTAAGTCCCTCCCCACTTCGGTCTTTCCCACAGACGGATCCTTGCGCATTATGTTCACCGTCTTCCCACGGATGGATAGCAGCAGCAGGGAAATGCTAACACAATTCTAGCTATTACATAAAGCTACGGTGTAAGTGTGTTAATTAACCTGGCTAAGCAGATATCTTACTGACACCATGATTACTTCTTCCCTTCATTCGTGCTTTCACTCTGCACCTCATATTTGCAGTTTTCATATGCAAATAGAGAACAGCTCAGAAATAACGAGGGGCCAAAACCTGAAATTCTTCTGACCACTCCAGAAAAGATGAGCTGTTCAAGTACAGTGGGGTCTGTGACCGAGAGAGAGAGGGTGAGAAAGAGAGAGAGAGAGACAGGGAGAGAGAGGGAGAGACAGGGAGAGAGAGGGAGAGAGAGGGAGAGAGGGAGAGAGGGAGAGGGAGAAGGAGAGGGAGAGGGGGAGGGAGAGAGAAAGAGGGAGGGAGAGAGAGAGAGAGAGAGAGAGAGGCTGCTCTGCCTCGGCCAGCTCAGGGGGTTCATCAGAGAGGAAGACCCCTGTGTGGGGTCAGGTCGTGTGTGGGGTCAGGTTGTGGTTTTCAAGGATAGGCTCTGTGCCTCACGCTCAGAGGCTCTCTCCACACCGTCTAGCTTCCTGCCCTGGACTCCTTACGGAACGGAAGCCAGGTGTGATGGCCCACACGCAAGGCACACGTGGAGCCCCTTCTGTGCCCAGAACGGTGACCAGAACCCCTGCAGCTGGAAGCATGCGCAGAGCTCGCAGGACCGCTGGGCGCCCGGAGGGCGGATGCCGACCATGGGTTCAGACGGGCGGCCCCCTGCAGGCACTCACCTCACTGAGGGAGGGGAGACGCTCTGTCCCAGAGTCCAAGCCGCTGTCCCCCTCCTGGGAGTCCAGAGAAAGCCGGCCTGGGAAGGAGACAGATGACGTGGGAGGTGGCGCTGTGGCCTGGGGGGCCCGTGGGCAGGGCAGGAGGGCCAAGTGCCGCCTTCCCTCCTTTCTGGGTTTGCTCAGGTCGAGTGCTCCACACCTGGCTCTCCCCCACCGGCATGCCTGTGCCCAGGCAACGTCAGTCTGCAACGAGGCTCCACAGGGCCTGATCACCGTCGTCACGGTACCTGCCTGGCCCTCAGCCGTCGGCGCTGTGGTTCTGCACCCACGTCTACCATCTAAACCGCCCCCACTGCCCCTACACGTGGATGTCACCTTCTCTCCCTACGCTCGCGCCCGGAGAACAGAGCCTACGGTCAGTCTTTCCTGAATCGGCCCCATGGGGAGGGGACAGCGAGTAGGGAACCTGGACCCTGGAGTACGGAGAGCGGGGCAGGCTCACCTTCTGATGATCGCTGGCTGGTGTCACCATACAGGGGCAGCAGGTCCTAAGAAGGAAAGGTGCAGAGGGTAGCAAATTCTGCAAACCTCTCCTCTACTTGTTCCCTCCTCCCGGCACCCCTTCCCTCAATCTTTGCACACAGTATCTGCTGCAGGGAGCAGCGGCTGCGGCTTCATTGCCTAAAAACGCCCAGACTGGGCAGTTATTGCTCTGTGGGTGGTGGGGGGAGGATGGTGCAAAGGAAGAAAGTGTCCAAACCCAGGGACTTGCCCCCCTGGACCTCAAAGTGTCTGCTGCCTTGGTTCGGCCAGACACAGGAGCTTCCCGTCAGGAAAGCTGGGGCCTGAGGGCAGCCGAGGAAGGCCAGCCGCTACCTGCTGCCGATGGACAGACAGGTCAGGCCGTGGGGAGGGGGCTACGGTGACAGCACCCTGCTGCTCGTGAAGCCATTCTAGACCTCGTCCAGGCTTTCAGGAAGCCCGAGGCAGGGACAGCTCTCTACTCTAGTCAAAGAGCGCAGAGACCTCATGTGATGTGCCCAAGCTACACAGCAGGAAAACAGATGCTGGGGCCGGCGACCCGACTCGCCACCCTGTGGACCACACGGGTGCACATGGTGGCAGGGAACACGCTCCTCTCTGGCAGCGCCCGCCCTGCCCCCGCCAGGCCCTGCTGTGACCTCCGTCTCAGACAGGACACCGAGGCTCCCACATGGTACGGAGCCTGCCCCCGTGCTACAGAAGGTGAGCACGGGACCTGAGCTACCAGCCGCGCGATACGGACTGTCCTTCAGAAAACAGCAGTGTGCGCTGGACTGGCCTGCTGTTCGCAGACATTTTGATCAGGATGCTCTAACCCTCACACCATCTCTACCAGCTCTGGCAAAACTATTCTTGGAAATCTTAAAGTTTCTGGAAGATTCCTTCGTATATACCCAAAGAGTTAAGGCCTGACGGGGATTCGAGTGGATGCTAATGACGACGCCCCTGATTAGGACAGGTAAGGACACTCCTCTGAGGCCTTCCATGGAAAGGTCAGCGCGGGGGGGTCCCGCACTTGGGCTGACGTGGGAAGTGCTGGGACAGGGCTGAAGGGCCACCGTGTGCGGTCACTCAGGGACGGCCGTCAGCATGGAGGACAGCACTGGGGAGCCGGGGACAGGAGACTGAAGCCACTGGCCCAACCCAGTCTGTGTGGATTTCCTTCTGCCACAAACTCGTGGGGGGCAGGAAGGGGCCTCTTCTGCCGGCACCCCCAGACAGGGCTCAGCCCTTTGGCTCTGGAGAAGGAGTTACTGCCCTGTGCTCCCCGTGAAATGGTGAACACTCACGGGACCCCCGGGGTCTGTGCGGCCCCAGCCTCTCCTCCGCGCTCTGTCCCCGGCCTGCGCGGTGCCCTCAGGCCCCCTCCTGGAGCTGAGCCGGCGCCACTCACCGCCAAGCCACCTGTCTCCTGCTGGATCTTGCGCTGTAACTGAGTGACGCGCCTCCGGGCACCCTCCATCTGCTCCTCCAGCGGGCTGGCCGGGTTCCGGCTGTACACCTCACAGATCCGCTGCGGATGGGCCAGGACGACACGGGAAAGGCAGAGGGTGGTCAGGGGAGGATGGATGACTCACAGGGGGGCAGGGGGACGGGGAGTTACCCCCACAAAGCGGCGTGGAGACTGAGAAATGTCACAGGAGGTGCTGAGGGGGCTGACGGGACGGCCCTGGCGCCCTCCCCGCTCCTGCTCAAGTGCAGGACGTGCAGTGTCCATGGGGACAGGTGGCTGTGTCACAGCCCGGGCTCTGCGCTCAGGGAGGCAGGACTGTGAGCTCTGCCACCTGTGCTCACTAGGCTGTGTAGACCCGTAAGCTTGACCGGGTCCTCGTGGATAAAACAGGGATGACTGGGAGGCCTGGACGCCATCACATCTGAGAGGATGTAGCAGGGGCAGTGACTAATTTCACTCCGAAGGGAGTGCCCGGCTCACAGTCAAACAAGACGGCAGGTGCGCATGTTCTCGAAGCTCATCTGGGGCCCCTGTGCCACCTGACAACCCCCCACTTCTCGTTCCGTCCTGTCCAAGCCGCCCGGCACATGACCTCACGGCCCTTGGAGAGGCCCTGCCCGCGGCCCCGGGCTCTGCTGAAACACTGCTCGCACCCCCTTCCCCCAATGGCTCCTTCCCCCCATCCCACGAGCACATGAAGCCCTGCCATCAGTTATGACTCTGCCCTCAGCCCTTTGTCCCTCTATCCACGGGCACGTCTCCAGACAGGGGTCCACCCTCAGGGCCCACCCTGCAGCCTGTAAATGACCCAACTGTTACTCCTCCAAGGAGCCCGATGACCCAAGGCCAGAGGCAGAGGCCCAGCCCCGGGCCATCACCTGTCAAGAGCCCCTGCCTCGGCCACCCTGGTGCGTCCCCCCTCCCATGCTACCCGCAGCCTCGCCTAGTTTCTGCCCCACCTGGCGCCAGCCATGCCAGTGCATGACGCGCACGCGCAGACCCGAGGCGTGGCCCTGGTCTTTAAGGAGCTTAGTCCCACAGGGAGGACGGAGAACTGAAACCTGAACTCGACAGCAGCCACAGCAGCGATGTTACGGGCGGTGCATGTGTGGGAAGAGCACCAGAGCTCCGTGTTCGATGCCTGTGTGGTCTCTTCCTCTCGCACTGGCACCCTGGGTGACACCACCCGTTCCCCACTTTCAACTACCCTCAGGCTGAAGATGCCTGAACCTCTCTCTCAACCCTGCCCTCTCCCTTGAGGCTCAACCCTATTATGTCCACAGGCTGGGTCCACGAACTTTTCATCTGAATGTCGCACAGGCCCCCAAAGCTGACCTTCATTTGCTGCCCCTGGACCCTGCCCCACCCGTCTGCCTCCCGCCACCAACGGCACCCAAACTCGGGGGTCTTCGTCCCTTCTTCCCCGCCACCTCCCCCTTGCAGGCAATCCGTACAGCCGTCTGACCTCGGGAGATGACCTCGGGGCCCCCATGTTTCTGTGCTTGCTCCTCCTGTTCCCGTTCAACCCCCTGGACAGCCGCGGGACGGCCTCCTGGTGTGTCCGCGCACTGAACACACATCTCTGGGGCTCGGTCGTGTGGAGGTGCGATCGCTCCCCTACTCACTCCGCTGACCGATCCCATGGCCTTCAGAATAAACCCCAAGCTCAGGTGGAATTCAAGGCCCAAAGTACGTCCCAGAGGAAACAGACGGAACCCAAACTCCAGTGCTCCCTCAGGAGGCCAGCTCTGATTACTGCGTGATTATCCCTTCCTTTGGGCCTCCACGCACTTAAAAACCCTCGTAAAAAACTGTTGACGTGTGATTCACATAACATAAACCTCACCATTCTTTAAAATGGTGTACAACTCAGTGGTTGGGAGCGCACTGGTGGAGCGCACAAGCTGCCACGCAATGCCGGGACACGACCACCAGCCGCCAGGACAGTGGCCGCTCTCAACTTCCCTCCTCCTCCAGCCCCGGAACCACTAATTTACTTTCTGCCTTTACAGACTCTCTGTTCTGGACTTGCACGCACGTGTCATCCGACAAGCTGGGGCCTGTGCCCGGCTCTCTCAGGGGGCCTCACGCGTGCCGGGTCCCCTCGTGTTGCAGCGTGAGTCTGGCCTGGTTCAGGCTGAGGGCCACCCCATCGTTCGGACAGGCCAGCTCGGTTCACCAACAGCTTCTGGACTGTGTCTGCTTTGCGGCTGTCAGGATCAATGGTATTAAGAACGTTCACGTACTGACTTCTGCTTGGATGTGTTTCCAGTCCTCCTGGGCTGTACCCGGGAGGGAACGGAAGGGTCGGTGTTCCTCTGCAGTCAGTATTTTGAAGAACCGCCAGGACGTTTCCACAGTGGCTGGGCGCCCGCACCTCCTCACCAGCAGTGGTGGGAGCACACGACCAAACACACACGCTGCTCTCGCCTGTCACTTTGTCGTCCTGGCTGTAACCACCCTAGCAGGTATGGGGCAGAGCTGTGCGGTTTCGATGGTGTCACCCCAATGACTGATGACGCTGAGCACCTTCTCGTGGGCTTGCTGGCCGTCGCTACGCCCTCTTTCCTGGACTGTCTGTTCAGACCCTTTGCAACTTTTAAAGGGGCTCATGTGCCTTTTCATTATTGAGCTTTGAGAGTCCTTTACATATTCTGGTACTCGCTCCTTACTGGATACTTGAGCTGCAAGGGTTTTCTGCACTCTGTGGGCTTTTTACTTTCTTGACAGCGTTCTTTGATGCATGAAGGTTCTGAATTTGGATGAAGTTCAATTTAATTTATTTTATATTTTTCGTTGCTTCTACTTTTGGTGTCTTATCTAAGAAAACACTGCCTGAACCAAGGTCATGAAGACTTGTACCTGTGTTTTCTTTTTAAGTTCCCTTTTTTTAATGTTTTATTTGAGAGAGGGAGAGAGGGAGAGAGGGAGAGGGAGGGAGAGAGAGAGAGAGAGACAGGATGAGCGGGGGAGGGGCAGAGAGAGAGGGAAATACAGAATCTGAAGCAGGCTCCAGGCTCTGAGCTGTCAGCAGAGCCCGATGTGGGGCTCGAACCCACGAACCGTGTGATCATGATCTGAGCCAAAGTCGGACACTTAACTGACCGGACCACCCAGGCGCCCTGAGAGTTTCGCCATTTTAAGAAATAGTTTTAGTTCTTACACGTAAGTCTCAGAATGATTGGGGACGAATTCTGTGAACTGTGTGAGGTGTGGGTCCCCGCTCGTTCTCCACGTGCGGACGGCCAGGTGGTCCAGCACTGTTTGCAGACTTTGTCCATTAAATGGTCTCGATGCCTTTGTCAGAAATCGATGGACTGTACGTGTACAGTTTAATTTCTGGACGGTGAGTCCTCTTCTCCCGACGTGTAGGCCTGTCCTGACCACTGCGTGACATGTCCACGCCTAAGCTCCTCTACTTCCTATCACGCGGGGAACCATGCCCCCTCAGTCCCCCGGCCCCTGCCCCGCCACAGACGCCACAAGGAGAGCGCCGTCTCTCGGCTATCTTGGCATCAGCGTCCCCGCCCGCCACATAGCAGACCCCGGGCCTGGACCCAGGAGTGTGTTTTCACACGTGTGTGGCTTTGGCCGACGCGGTCGCCTCACTGCCATCCCTCTGTATCTGTCCCGCACAGAAGTCCCTCTGCGAGGCCTCTCCCTGGAGCGTCCCTACACCTCCTATCTTCCACGGATTCCTCTCCTCTGTGTCCCCTGCCAATTCTCCCCTGGGCTACGAACCTTCTCCGTCAGTGCCGTCGTGCTGAGGGCAAAACTGCCCCATCTTCCCATCTCTTCACACTGACCGGCAACAGGCTTCATGTGCAGCGAACACTCAGGAAACGTGAAGTGAAACGGAGGGGGATGGGCCAGGAGCTGGCTGCCCGCCCCACTGAGAGTGCACCCCCCCGCCGGCCCCGCCTGGACTTTGCTTTCCATCCCTCCCACCAACGGGGCCCCCGCCCGCCCCACCTCCCTCCCCGGAGACCCTGAGACCGTCCTCAGTTCTGGTGCTCCCTGGCTGTGCTCTCCTCGCCCGTCACCTGGTGGCGCGGGGCCCACCTATCTACCGTTCTAACCTGACCTGGCGCTCTGGTCCCTGTTCCCCTTCTCGGTTCTGCACTGACGAACCCCACAGCCCACAGGTCCCAGCTGTTGGGGTTTGGCTGTGACGGGCTGGCTGCGGGTGTCACCGTGGCCTTACCTGTAACTCCTTTTCCTCCTGCTTCAACATATTCCGAAGGATCTGGGTGGCGTGTTTTTGGAACTCGGGATCCTGGGAAAGGAGCACAGGACAGGTGAGGGCTGGGAGTCTCGGCGAGAAAAGCCAGCACAGCAGCCTGGGTGACCTCAGCACCTCACGCCCGTCAGGGCTTCTCCGGGGCCTCCTAGAAGCCCTGGCTGTAACCGCCTCTGTCATCCAACTGCTCCCAAGTCTCCTGGGCTTCGCTGGCTCTGTCTTCTTTCCCACTGGAGGTCCCGTCCCCTCTCCCAACTGCGCCTTCTCCTTCCTCTTAGCTCAGCGCGCAGCCTTCCCTGTCCCGGGTCCACCCCCTCCTGCTGTCCGTCCTTCCCCGTACACACAGCGCTCCACGTTCCCAGCCTCTAGGCAGCCTTCCCCCCTCCCTGGTGTGTTCCACACTCCTGCAGCCACGGCTGGGCCTCCCAGGGAGCTGGGGAGCAGTGCCCTCGAGGGCCTCCTCGGGGACCCCCCCATTTAGGGGGCACGAGCCCATGGCCACGTGGAAAGGCCGGATGCGTTTGCATGGAAGGAGAAACTGAGGATGGAGCGGCCGCCTTCCTGCAGCCGGGCTTCCCGCTCTGTCCTGCTTTCCTGCCCGCGGCTGACGGGTGGGGAGGGGGCTTACCTGCAGCGGCTTGGGCCCCGTGATGTGCTGTGGAGGGGGCGGGGGCGGAGGCGGAGGTGGTGGTGGGGCCACAGGGGCGACTCGGGGGGCTCCGGCCGGGGCTGGGTCCTGCTGCAGCCCGGAGACGCTGACGGACGAGGGGGAAGAGCCCAGGAGGGTCAGTGCGACGTAGGCGCCAGCTGGAGGAAGACAGACGAGGAGGGGCCTGCTCGTGGCGCATCGTGCTGGTGGCAGACGCTCGCTCAAGCGACAGAGCGGTCCTCCTCCTCCTCCTCCTTTCATGCAGCTTAAGACTCTGCAGATGAAGTTCTCTGCACTTCAATGCCTCGCCATCCCCTGGTCCCAGCCCCCTGGCCCTGTGTTCCTGCCCCTCCTTCACTCGAACCCTCAGCCACACTTCCACCTGGATGTGGGGCTGCCCCCCCAGCCCTCACGCCCCTCACCTCATGACATCCAGCCAAGCCCCTGGCTCACGGCGGGCGTGCAGAAGCCGGCCCCCCGCCCCCTCCCCGGACCACCTGCCCACTAACTCTTTCCTCAAACCTGTTGCTTCCGTTTGACTACCTGGGCAGGCACGCCTGCTGGGTCTTCCTGGCTACAGACAGGATGTTTTTGCCTTCTCCCCCCCAAATAGGGAGCCCCTGAGAAAGGCCGTCGTGGATGGGGGGACAGTGAACGGCACTGGGGGGCCTGGCTGCAGGAGGGCACGGTCTGCCCCGGCATGCGGGAGACGGCAGGCCAGCGTCTGCATGTGCGGTGGCCGCAGGGAAAGGGGACAGGCCCAGCGGATCAGGACGACAGATGTGACCCTGGCCGCCTCTCTCACCCACAAAGGACCCGGGTCAGAGGGCCTGCCCCTCCCCCTCAGCTGTCTCCAACTCACATTTGATAAGCTTTACCACCTCCAGGTGTGAGCTGTTGGTCACCATGGTGCCGTTCACCTGTTGGGGGACAAAGGCTATTAAGTAACCGGATGGACGTAGAGGGTCCTTCTCAAGTCGGCAAAGTCACTCCTTCACAAAGCCGTCTTCCGACGCGCTCCGGACACTCCGGGCGTGGGTTCACTCTGCTCACATCCGCCCCCATTCCGTCCTCCCAGGAGCCCGCCGGGCCTGCAGCTTCGTGCACTATTTTTGGTAGGTTCCCTCCCAGCCACTCAGCCGCGCCCCTGCCACCTGCCCGGGCACGTCCTCCTCCCGGGAGGACCCAGGCGTCTCTGGGTCCTGGATCTCCTGAGCACGCCCAGGACTCGGCTGGGCGGACGGCAGGTGGCAAGGACCTCAGGTCTGCTGTGCGGGGACGGAATCCAAAGGCACTGCACCCCTCGCTCGCCTCTGCCTCTCCATCTTAACTGTCGTTTTGTTGTTCGTTAAACGAATGGGAAAAATAAAAGCCATGCCAGAAGCCCGGCTGCTTTGAGTCAAGAAAGGCGGAGGATGGGGCTCCTAGAGGCTGCCCCCGCTGCCGGCAGCACACCCCCGGCTCCGCTCGGGGCCCCACCCCCACCCCGGTGGCCCCGGCAGCCAGCGAGGCAGGAGGGCGCAGGTGCCTGCCAGAAGGGGAGGGGCACTCACCTTGATGATCCGGTCGCCCTCTTTGACACCAGCTCTCATGGCCGCCCCTCCTGTAGGGAGAAGACCTGGTCAGCAGAGCCCGGCCACCCTCCCCAGAGGTCACTGACCCTGCTCTGCAGTCCCTCCAAAAATGTCTTCTCAGCCCTTTGTGTCAGGGGTGCCTCTAATCCTGCTCCAGTGACCGTTTCAGGATGGCTCCCAGACCAGTAAGAGCTGCCTCCTGGGACCTAGGGGGAGGGAAGGTTTTACCATGTTAACTGTAACCGTTAGCATAAGAGTAGTTATTAAGAGGCATATGGACAGAAGAATGAAAACGAGAGTTTTCAAAGCCCTGAAGGGCTCAGAGGTATTCTGGGGTTCACATCAATGAGGATGGCTGTGATCGCTTGTTATTAATATTTGTTTTACACTAGTTAGTTTCTCCCTTTAAAATGGGCCACATTAAGAGCTTCTCTGATTGAGACTTAGGGAGACGCTGCCCCTTGCGGCCAGAGGTGCTGCTGGCTGTGACCGCCGTGTGGTTTCTCAATGACTCAGTCCTGGTTTGATTTACATCCAGGAGGCGTAAGAAACACGAAAGCTGAGGCAAGCTAACGAGCAGCGTAAAGACTGTTTTCGTGAATCTGCCCCAGATGATCATTCAATCTGTAAGCTGCATTCATCTGATCAAAACAAAACTCCCACAGAGCACACTAGATGCTTCTGGTCTAAAAAGAGATTCTACAGCAATGACTGCGTCCCGGTTTGGCTTTTCAGTATGAGGTCTCAAAACTACACCCTCGTCTATAGCGTGCTATTCACGGAAGAGGACTCGAAAGGAGAGGGAGATGCTCCACCCTGTGTCTGGAAACCAAAGGTGGAAAAGCAAGTATGAGACATGTGCAGTGACTTCTAATAACTTAGTGATTCGGGGAAAACCAGTCTCCAGAGTGAAGGAAGTGGAAGAGCTCTCAGCTTCGGTGAGCGAGAGTCACTGGGGGGGCCTGCTCAAAGGCGCGCCCCTTGGGAGAGAGTGGTTCAGTGACTATGGGCGTGGGCTCGGGTCAGGGACAGCAGCCATCCTGGGGTCTGGGTGATTGATGTCGGCAGGGCACCAACCACATTGTGAGGAACTGAACTAGAGAAGCCTAAGGTCAGGGAAAGACCGTAACAACCACTTCTTGCTCCTGAGAGGTCAATGCCGATGCAAACGTAGGCTCTTCTTGTCTCCTGCCCCAAACACACACACACACACACACACACACACACACACACACACACACACACACAACACTTCCCTTAACTCAGGGCTCCCTGGCAAGCCACCCATCTGCCCTGGTCTCTCTGGGTCCGGCTCTGCTTGGGCCTCATGGCAGGGACATGTAAGAGGCTGAGCTGCGCCCCAGAGACCCCCACGCTACCTGCGCGGGGCAGGCCGCGGAGGCGAAGGACGAGCAGTGGCGCCCCCACCAGCTCCGTCCCCTGCCCAGGAGCAGGGACAACACGGAAGCAGAGAAGAGAAGCGTCTCTTCAGAGCTCTGTCCTCAGACAGGAAAACAAGCGTCACAGACACAAGTTAATTCCCAAACATACAAGCCACAATTACTTACATGTGCGTGTGATCCACAGACCTCATTTTGGTCACGAATTTGAAATTCTCTTTTTATTTTTCCCATAAGCAAGTCCTAAATATTTCCCCCAAATTACTTAAAGTGTATTTTTCTTCCCACTTTGTAACGTTCTTAGTGTGAAACGCTAGCCTGCTCCCTGCCTCTCTCCTTGTGCGGGCACGACTCGTTCTACTGCACTTCGCAGGGACTGGGTTTTACACACAGAAGGTTTGCAGGAACCTGCGTCAAGCAAGCCTGTTGGCACCGTTTTTCCATCAGCATTTGCTCACTTCCTGTCTCTGAGCCATGTTTTGCGCTCACAGTCTCTAAAACTTTTCCGTTATTGTATTTTTATGGTGATCTGTGACAAGTGATCTTTTTTAAATTAAAAAAAAATTCATTTCTTTTATTGTATATATATTTTAGAGATAGCAGACACGAGTGTGCGCACCCAGGGGAACGAGGCAGAGGGAGAGGGAGAGAGAGAATCCCAAGCGGGATCCAGGATCCATGCTCGGTGCAGAGCCCGATGCAGGGCTTGATCCCCCGACTGTGGGATTGTGACCTGAGCTGAAATCAGGAGTCAGATGCTCAACCGACTGAGCCACCCACCCGGGTGCGCCTGTGATGAGTGATGTTTGACCTTCATGTGGTGACTTCCTGGGGGCGTGACAAGCAGTGCCCTGTACGCCAGTGAACATGGTGGATGCTCTGCCGGCTGCCGAGCCCATCCTCTCCTGTGCGGGGACAGGAGACGCGGCAGCGGGGACATCAGGCCGATCACTGAGCCGACAATGGCCGCTAAGTGCACAGGCGAAAGGCCGAGTCTCAGCTGTCACTTTAGATCAAGAGCTGGCGGTGATTCCGCGCAGGGTGGATGGCGCGTCCACAGCTGAGACGCACTGACCGCGTGGGCCTCTCCAGCCAATGGTTGGTTGAGTTGTGCACGAGAGGGAAGGTTCTTGAAGGAAATTATGAGTGCTGGTCCAGGGAACACGCGGCTGGTAAGAAAGCTAAATAGCTTGGGGCGCCTGGGTGGCTTAGTCGGTTAAGCGTCCGACTTTCACTTAGGTCATGATCTCGCGGTTCGTGGGTTTGAGCCCCGCGTCGGGCTCTGTGCTGACAACTCAGAGCCTGGAGCCTGTTTCAGTCTGTGACTCCCTCTCTCTCTGACCCTCCCCTGTTCACGCTGTCTCTCTCTCTCTCCTAGAAATAAATAAAACATTTTTAAAAAATTAAAAAAAAAAAAAAAAAAAAAAAAAGAAACCTAAATAGCCTTCCTGCTGATGCAGAGAAAGTGTGGGTGGTCTGGACGGAACATCAGGGGCATGGCGTCCCCGGAAGCCGGAGTCAGGCCCAGAGCGAGGCCTGGACCCACTTTAGTCTGTGGAGGCCGAGCAGGGAGGAGGCCGAACAGTGGGGGAGGCTGCAGAAAGCTGGCAGCAGCTGGGCGGCGAGGGCTCAGGAACGAGCAGCCTGCACAGCAGAGAAGCAGCGATAAGCAGCCAGTCAGATGCAGAAGCCGCCGTGAGTTCTTGGGAAGACCTGGCTAAGAGCATTCACACGGGCGGCCACGCTAACCACCAGATCCCCCGTGTAGACAGAACAGCCTCGTATAGGAAGGGGATGCCGTCTCAGGCTCTCGGGGCTCGACGGGAGACGTCAATGCCCGGTTCCCAAGCTTCAAAGGACAGACGGACTCTCGTTAGGGGCGGACGCGGCTGGTGATTGAGCTGAAGCCGATGCTCGCTGACCATTCCCCAAATCCTGGGGCCCTTAAGAATTATGCTAAATCTACTCTGTGCTCTAGAAACGGAACAACAAAGCCTGGATGATAGAACATCTGTTGACAACATGGGAGACTGGATGTCTTATGTCCACTGTTGAGACCTGTGGTGCAGGAAAATAAAAACATTTCTTTCAAAATATTACTGCTCCTGGGCGCCCAGGGGCCCTCAGTCGGTTAACCATCCAACTTCAGCTCAGGTCATGATCTCACGGTCCATGGGTTCGAGCCCTGCGTCGGGCTCTGTGCTGACAGTTCAGAGCCTGGAGCCTGCTTCGGATTCTGTGTCTCCCTCTCTCTCTGCCCCTCCCCCACTTGTGCTCTGTCTCTGTTTCTCAAAAATGAATAAATGTTAAAAAAAAAACAAACGGGGCTCCTGGGTGGCTGGCTCAGTTGGTTAAGCGTCTGACTTTGGCCCAGGTCATGACCCTGCGGTCCACGGGTTCGAACCCCACATCAGGCTCTGTATTGACAGCTCAGAGCCTAGAGCCTGCTTTGGATTATGGGTTTCCCTCTCTGTCCCTCCCCCACGTGCATGTGTGCGCGCTCTCCCTTTCCCTCTCTCAAAAATAAACTGTAAAGAATTTAAAAAACAAATAAACAAACAAAAGGAACAACGCTCCTCGACCATGACCCGGTCACCCGAGAGCTCTGATGGAGACGGACACGACACCTGTTCTGCAGCTCACGCGTCCAGGAATCATTTCGACTTTTGAGTCTTATTATTTGACAAATCACGTTTTGTGAGGCTGTGGCTGCCACAGATAATGCTCCTGCTGATGGATCTGGACAAAGCAAATTGAAAACCTCTGGAAAGGATTCATCATTCTAGATGCCACTTGGAACATTCACGGTTTATGAGAAGAGGTCAAAGCATCGACATTCACAGGAACTGGAAGAAGCAACGGCAGCCTTCACGGACGGCCACGAGGGCTCAAGGCTTCCGTGGAGGCAGAAGCACAAGTGTGGCCCAAAGACAGGGCCGAATGGCTGCGATCTCAGGATAAAACTTGAATGGTGCTTCTCAGGGAGGAGCAGAGAAAATGGTTTCCTGAGACGGAATCTACTCCTGGTGAGGACGCCGAAGCTGTCACTTCCTGGTGAAGTGACAACAAAGGACAGAGAATGTCCCAATTCTCTGAGAGGATCGGCTCCAATTCTGAAAGTCGTGCTGGGGGTAAAATGCTACCAACCAGCATCACGCGTGGCAGAGAAACCAATTCTAAAAGGGAGAGTCACTCGATGCAACAAATGTCCTTGTCTATATCTTAGGAAATGGCTACAGCCCCTAGGCTTCAGAGGCCACCACCCAGCTGGCCAGCAGCCACCAACATCGAGGCAGACCCTCCAGCAAAGACTATGACTCGCTGATTAGCAACAAGCTCCTGGCAATAAGGTGCTTGTAATGAGCCTGCGTGTTGTCTCCTCACATGTGCTGCTCCCGCACACTCAGACCAGCGCACGGTGTAGGTGTGACTTACATGCATGGAGAAGCCATAAACGTCGCTCTGACCCGCTTGGCTGCGATGCCTGCTTTCTTGTGGCGGTCGGAGCCTGAGCCGCGAGGCCTCTGAGGTGAGCCCGAATCTGTCGAGCTTAGACTCTCCGTGTCACCAGCGCCACCCCCTCGGCCACGCTGAGGTTCACCCCTGTTAGGACCCTGGTTTATTCGCGTCCCTGCCCCCACGCCCTTCCTGCTTGTCCGCTGCAGCCCGGGTCACCCCCCAGGACGGTTCCACCGCCCCACGGACCACAGGGCTTAAGTACGGGCGGCTCTTCCACTCGCAGCTGGTGGCCTGACCGCCCCGCTCCCGTGCGCTCCTGCTCTGCTCCCTTCCCTCCCACTCCCACCGGGCCAGCGGGCTCTCGCTCCCAGCTTTCTCCTCCTGAAACCCTACTGCTTCCAGGGAGGCTTCGACCACGAACTGCCCGAACACCGTTCCCAGCGCTGCCGCCTCCCAGACCGCGCAGTGCACACGTCATTTCTCTGGCCCTTTCCTGGTTAACGTTAGCGGCCCCGGCACCGGCTCGGCTGGCACGCCATCCCAAACCGTAGAGTGCTGCAGGTAAGTACGAAGATGGGCGCTCTGACCACCGCCCACGGCATCTGCCGACCCAGCCGACCCAGCACGCGGGCCTCCCTTGGGCAGCAAGGAGCATCTGAGGGCCGCTCTGCTGCTCCGCCCTTCCCAGCAGGGGGAGCGAGCGTGAAGTGTAACCCTTCAGTTCTGCTGCACGGCATCGGGAGCTGTCCCCGGACGCCCCTGGGGACCAGTTCACGGTAACTCACTCACGCCCGGCACTCTCCACGCCTCCAGGGGGCGCACACGCACGTCCTCCAATCACGCAGCAGGTCACGTACACGGCTGCCGACTACGCAGTGTCTCCCCCGGGGTAGTGGGCGCAGCACTCACCGGGCCGCACGGACTGCACCAGGACGACACGGTCCCCACTGACAGTGAAGCCGAAGCCATGCTGGTCCTTCTGGATGATGACACAGCGCTGAACAAGACCTGACGAGAGGGGACAGAGAGAAGGGTCACCAGGTGCCATCGCCGGGAGGCTGGTGCGCAGGAGCCACGACCCACCCGGGAAAGCCCTAGCTCGCCTTCCTGCAGGGAGCCTTTCCAGAAGGACCAGATTCCCCAGAAGTTTCCCGAGCAAAACCAGGGCGATGACACGGCTCCCTCTGGAGCAGCTGAAACCTGGAAGCCTCCGTGTGCCCCGTGAGAGAGGTCACCCTTCTCTGGTCACCGGGGCGTCTGTCGGGGAAGGCCAGCCAAAGAGGGGGCAGGACGGGGAAGCAGCCCCGTGACCGAAGCCCAAGGGAGGCGCGTGCTGTGGAACCCCCGGCCCGGCAGGGCAGCGGGTGGCAGCTCACAAGGGGCACCCAGGGCGGGCCCCTTGCCCGGTGCAGGGAAGGGGGCAGAGAAAGAGGGAACCCGTTATTCTCACACGCACGTCCGTCCACAAAACGTGGAAGAAAAGAAAGAAGACCATGACTGCCAAGTGCCCCCCATGGGTGCGACCAGACACCACGCCCCACACCCCGTGCACTGGACACCGCACAGCACTCTCGTGTGCCGACCTGGGCCCCCCCCCGGGATGGCTCGCGCAGGAGCTCCGCTGCTAAACCCACCTCAGGACCCTCCAGCCCTGTGCACTTGGGCGAGTGTCCAAAGCTCCCTGCTCTGTGGGGCGGGGACAGCACCCACTTCCGTGGCTGGCGCGCGGACAGACTCGACAACTTGTATAAACCGTGAACGGCAGAGCCCGACACACACCAGGAGCGCCACAGGAAGGCGGCTTTGCTCCTGGGAAGACACGCGTGCGGCTGCGCGTCAGCGCCCCCGGGGTTACCTGCGGCGTCAGAGGCGGCAGAGGCGTCACAGGGCTGGTGGAGGTGGGAAGGCGGCCTGCGTCCGGGCGCCGGGTCTCCCAAAGACAGGCTGCTTACCCTGCAGGGCAAGGATGGCACGGTGGTAAGCGGGCGGGAGGGGCCGCCTGCGGCTCCGTTAGAAGGGGCCCGGGCCTTGGGTAAAGAGAGGCCAGCCCTCTCGGCCTGTAACCCGCTTAATCTGGTGGGAGATCAGCCACGTCTACGCCACTGGCAACACCACCTGTGTGAAACCCTGGGCCGGCGGGGCGAGCACGGTCTCCTACACAGCGAGCAAGGCGCGAAGGGCACTAGCCCTGCCTGGACTCGGGACACAAGGAAGGAGCGGCGCAGACGCACGCGCTTGTGGGTCTTACCAGGCGGCAAGGGGGCTGCTGGGACAGAGAGAAGCAGCAGGGAGATGGACGCAAGGGAAAGATAGGAGAAAACAGAAAGCCAGTTAGTGTCAGGCGGTGACGGAGGACAGGGAGACCGGAGAGCAGAGGGCGGTGGAGGCCGCGGCAGACAGCCTCCCCGCTCGGGCTTTGTCTCGTCCCGTCCAGAGGGGCACTGGGACTAACCGGGGGGGTGGGGGGCTGCCATACACTTCTCTAGAAGGGACTGCGAGGGCAACAGCCAAGCCTCTGAAAACGCCCCTCCTGCTTCCGGGAGGAGCCCGGCGTCCGGTGGCAGTATTCCGGCCCACACTCAGCCGCCGCCTGCAGCCGGCCCGCGGCGCCCTGCCCGGCACATGGTGAGACCCTCGAGGTACCACAGGCCACCAGACCGGTCTTCTCGTCAACAGGAGAAGGACAAGTTCGATCACGGCCATGCCCTCTATCCGGGCAGTGTGCCTGTTGCCCCCCGGGGGTCTCCTAGGCGTGTCTGCAGCACGTGCCCCGGTAGCAGGTCATCAGTGGGGGCGCTGTGTGCAGGGGCAAAGCACCGAGTTGGTGTAAATGCTCCCACGGTGGCTGGCTGAATAAACCAGTGTGACGGTGGGACACTGACGGCAGGGCGCTCAGCTGCGTGCGACGGGAGGCCCTTAACTGCAAGGAACGAGCAGGGATGAGCTGAGGGACAAGAACAAGGCGCAGAATTCCATGCACGGGGAAAAGTGGGTTGAAGAGAGCAGAGGGGGTTGGATTTCTCTGTGTACGTTTACACACTTGCTCATGTGTGCACAAAGGATCTAAGACACCTTTAGGGGTACAGAAGAAACAGGCCCCGCTGCCTCTGAGGAAGGAGCCCGGGTGGCTGGGGCTCCTTTGCACCCTTTCAAGTCTGAGTCCCGTGAAGGAGCCAGCTCTTCAAGAACATGTGCAACCAAAGGACTTTTAAAGTTAAAAGATGGGGGTCTTCTTCCCCCCTCATCCTGGCGCCCCTCTTACCTGGACAGGTGAGCCTGCTCTTTACTGGCTGGTCTTTGGACCAGAGAGAGGACACCAAGGGAGAGGAGAGCATGGGGCCCAGGAGAGAGCATGCGGGAAAGGGGGACGAGACACAAAGAACAAAACAAGACATGAACCAGACAAGACACTGGAGATAGTTGGTTCAAAAAAAGCCACAGTCGCGTTGGGAAGGGCGAGGACGCGAACTGCCCACCACGCAGCAGTCCTCGTGCTGAAAGACAAATCCGCCATGTCGTGTGGGTGCTCGAACCTCCCAGAGCTTCTGTAGGGTGCGCGGGGCGGGGAGGCTGTGCTGCCTTCCAGCTGGGCCGCGGGCACCGCATGGAGCAGGAAGTACTGCCTGGTCCCCCAGGGGTCCCCAGGGCCCACCGCGCCGCAGGGGTCCACCGCAGGACTGCCCGCAAAGGCGGGACTCAGGACGCACTCCAGCTAATCCATCTTATTCTCGGCCTCTGCGCTTTGCCACGACCCTTCACCTGCTCTGGTTTCCGGCTCCTGCCTTTACCCGAACCGTGCCTGCTCCCCAGATGTCCCTCCTGCCACATGGCCTGTGACCACATCTGGGGCCAGATGAGCGCGCGCTGCCAGCAGCTCCAACTGCTGGCTGTCTTCAAATCACCCGCCTCCGTCAATCCCGGCCTGCCCCCCACCCCTCGACCCACGCCAGGCACCCAGCATAGCTCAGCATGTGGTAAGTGCTCTAGCATCTACGGATGACGACCATACTTGCTGCGGACATCATTCTACAACATACACACGCCACACCCTCTTGCTGCCCCCTGGACTGCGTGCGGTGCCGTGTGGCATTTACATCTCGGTGAAGCTGAGCTGTCCTAGAGCCCAGACCTGCGATGCCTAACGTCGCTGCTACAAGTATCTGTTTAAATTCACTTTTGAAATAAACTGTGTTTCCCCCCTGGACCAGCCACGCTTCCAGTGCTTACGGGCTAGCTACAGGTGGCTAGTGGTCACCACACTCACTGGCCCCCACGGCATAAGACATTTCCGTCGCTCCCCGGGACAGGACAGCGCTGTCCCAGACGCCATGTGAGGTGCCGTGTGAGGCACTGGGTGCAGACGGGGGAGGGGCATGTGCAGGACTTCAGCACAGACACTGGGGCGACCGCTCCGTCCTGCCCCCCCAGACACGGATCCTAGAATGGGCCTTACGTTAAAGGTCTTTTATTCCAGCTCATTTGCTGTCTCTAGTCGGATCCACACACCCCACCACTGGGATCCCCAGGACGGGCCTGAACCCCTCCTCCTTGCCCCCTCGGGAGAAGGCCCGTTTTCTGTTGGGACAGCTGGGGTCTCCCCCTCGCCTTGTTCAGTCTGACCCACCCCTGTAAGGAAGCCTGGAAGGGATGGGAACTCAACCTGGTTTGCTTTGCACTTGAGCTGGGCCGTGTGCTGCTCCACATAAGGGAAGGCACGCGAAGCTGCGGCCGGTGGACCTGGCTGTGGAGGACGTTAGGGGCACGGACAAGAATCACTTCAGCAACAGACGCCAACAGTTTTTTCTCTGAGAGCTTCGAGGAGGAAAAACTACCCCAGAACCGGACAGGAAGACACGCCTGCAGCAGATCAGGCGGACGGAAACAACCCGAGGGCTGTGGGTCGGCTGGGGCGTGAGCCCGAGCAGAGTGTGTGGGGAGAGACCACGGGAAGGTTAAAATCTGAGACAAGGGAAGAGGGAGAGGAGTGAAGAGCAGAGTTGGGCCGTCACAAAAGGAGAAGGGATTTTAATGGCAGGCTCCCCTCTTGATGACACTCTCGCCAAGTGTGGCAGCAGAGATCAGATTTGAATCGGCCTAAACCTGAAGGGTGCAGAGAAGGCCCGGGAGAGCGGAGACTCTCCCCCCAAATGTGCGGCTCACTAAACAGCAGCCGCAGAGATGGGAGGCCTGGCCCAGCCTCTCGGTGGGGCCCTACCACCGACCCCCGCCACCGACCCCTGCCCCGTGCGGCCAGCGGTGTTTCCACACCAGCTCCCTGCGTCGGGCCCCCGCTGACCGTGTGGCTTCTGGCCTCGGGTCTGGATGACTGGAAAAGCCCAGATTCACCGTGCCACAGTGGACCAGCCTTCCCCAGCATGGCCTCCCTGGGGCCCCAGATCAGGACCCGCGACTCGCTCCACTTGATCCCATCCCAACACCTGATGACCAGATGCGTGCGAGGTCGCCTGACACTGAAGGGCTTTTACCGAGTGGATCCGAACACTGTTGGGACTCCCTCTCCCCGTCTTCGTTCCCTGCCTCTTGGACCCTGCGCTCATTCTGCTGTGGTCCCATGACGGCCCCACCCTGTCCCCTTGGTCCTCAAGGCTCTGGTCAAGTGGCCTGGACCCCACCGTGCTCTCCCCGGCCACGGCAGCCTACGTATCCTTTACCCCAAGACTATATTCTGAAACATCTCAAGCCTGCGTGAAGGCTGAGGGGAGCGCACGAAGAGTGCCCGTAGGCCCTTCACCCAGGCTCCCCAATCAGCGTGCGTCACAGTTGCCTTATTTCCTATGATTACACATTTTCCCCCATTTCAAAGTTGCAGACAGCATGATACTTGATCCCTAAATACGTCAGCATAACCCCCCAAGACCTTCAACTTCTGCTGGACCAGTGACCTCAGCACCCAAGGAGCCACCAGCGATGCAACAGGATTACCTCGCACGGAGTCTGCGCTCAGACCCACCTGTCGTAGCGGCCTTCCACGTGGCCGTTCTCCTACAGCCTCGGACCAGGGTCCAGCCGCAGACCTCAGTCTCCTCGACACCCGGCTGACCCAGAACGCCTGCCCACCTGGTCCCTCTGAACACCGAGTGCTGGAGAGCTCGCCAGTCGCCTTATCAAGCAGCCAACAGAGGGCCGGGCGGTCTCCTCTGATTACGTTCAGACTGAGCCTCTTAAGAGAGTATTGCCTCAGTGGCTCTGCCGGGTCTGATTACTTGGACAAGGTGCGCTCCTCGGAGTTGGCAGTGGTAAAAGCGTGCTTCCCACCTCAGTCAGCAGGAAGCTGGGGTGACGGCAGAGAAGGAAGAGCCCCTGTTCTGCAGCAGCCCCTCCCCCAGCGGCCTCACTGCCCACAGGGGCTCCGGGCCTGGGCCGCGTGCTGCACTGGAGCTGCAGAAAGGCCATCTGCCCATCCCGTCCTTCCTTCTACATCTCGGGGCAGGTGCCCTTCCTTCTCTCTCCCGTAAAGAAGGCCGTCAGCTCCCTTTTCTGGAGCAGTGCCATGGAGTCATGCACTTCTTCCCGACTGCAGTGCATTACAGTCCGTTAGCATCACTTTTTTTCCTTAGGCTTATTTTTTTGGGGAATCTCTATGCCACTGCAGGGCTTACACTCATGACCCCAAGATCAAGAGTCACGGGCGCACTGACTGAGCCAGCCGGGCACCGTTTTCATCATCACATCTAGGAGCTCCTAGAGCTGCCCCCACCTAGCCGGCGGGAGCTCTCGTCCCTTTACCGGGTCACCGCGTGCCTCGGAGCACATCCTGGCCTCTGGCACAAGGTCCTCCTGGCTCACTGCGCACCTTCCCTGAGCCAGGCCCGCCATCGAATACTCCTCTAAGGACCCCTGGTTCCTTTTGGCAGGAGACACATGGAGACGGGGTCTGGGGGCCAGGTGCCCGCTGCCATGGAGCTGCTGTTCTAACAGGCGCCTTTGGGGAC